TCACCCCGGTCGGGAAACCCTTTAGCGCCACAGTCTGTTATCAGCTTATGGCTCCCATTTGGTTAGCAGCCCTTTAACTGCTTGCCATTTATCGTAGATTTGATTTATGGCGCAATTAAAAACTGCCCCAGATGAATTGTGGAGGATGGGATAAAGATGGGCGGGTTGAGGCGGTCCAGCAGTTCACACGATCCACGGCTGCTTTTCGCTTCTTTAGCGAAGTGAAGCCAAATTTATGGCAACAAATTTATTGGCAAAAAAGTGGCAAGGAAAAAAGGAAACACAAAAAATTTAAATAGAATTTTCGCTTGCTTAAGAGTGACAAACGGGACTGGAAAGGCGGAAAAGAGAGCAGAGAACTGAGTTGGAAAATCCCACTAAGCTACACCGCAAAATATTTGGGAGAAGGGAGTGACGAAGGTTCTGCAAGAGAGGTGGGTTTATAAATATATAAATAAATATATAAGGCTTGGAAATTATATATAGTATTTTAGATACTTTTAATGTGAGTTCCAATTCTAGTCTTTACTACTTTCCGAAATATTCCCTATGATAAGTACTTCTCTATTAAGAACTAAAGCAGCCACCCTCGTGTCCCAGCCTTGTCAACCTGACTTAGGCTACTCTTCCATCTTGGAACTCTACCAGCTACCATTTTCCATTTCCCATCTCAACCCCCTAATATTTCCCCCCTTTGGCCAGCTGTTTTGCCTGCACTTTGAGTTATGCATTGTGGTACCACTCCGGCCTTTTTGGACTCGTGTCAAACATATATAGACCAAGTACATATAGCTGTAGCTGTATATATAACGAGTCAGTGCAACATGTTGCCAGTGCCATGAAATGTAAATAAATTTCTCATGCGGCCTGGCATGTCGTAAAACACGAGGTTAATGTGGTAAAAGCTGGCTAGACATCTGATTCATGGGTAACTGTAGAGGGGTGCTAAAATAGGAGGAGCAGTTGCCACAGTTACCCGCAACGGGCAACATATTGTTGCCTAAGCAAACTATCAAGGACAGTAAGTGGCATTTAATGGGGTTTACTCGTGGATGGGAAAGTGCAATCGCATATTTCATTGCCAACTTTGGCTGCGAACGAGAAATGTTTAAGCTTGGGGGAAGCGGGAAGAGGAAGTTCCCCAGAGGAAGCTACAAATCTGGACAACTTAGACACGATAAAGTAGAGTAACTTTTTGAAAATAAATTGTACACAAATACCACATTCTGTAAGGATTTAGTTGTGTAATCCAAGTTTTAAATATAATCAATGTATGACATAAAATTTGAACTTTAAATTGTTAATATTTATATAATTTTTCGAAGTAGGGTAAAAATAAATATTAATTGTTCAAAATTAACTATTTATTTATTTAAATCAAAGACTTTAAGCCTCTTTTTCTAAGCAGCTTCACTTAAAAAAAGACATTTTCCGCTTACTAATTCCAACCCCAAAGACCCCACAAAGTATGCTACATTTGTTGAAGATTACTGCGGCCATGTCTGAGATTTACCTTTAACCCATTACAGCCTCTTTCTGGCCTAAGGCAAAACAACCAAAACAACAGGTCACGCAGTCAATTATTATAAACTGACAAAACTGCTAAGGTAACAAATGTTGAAGCTCAAACTGGGGAAAAACCCCTTCGGCCTCTCCATTTAATTAACACGCACACACAGACATGCCAAAAAATTGAGTTAAAACTTTTTTTTTGGGCTGCGGCATCAGCAGAGATGAGAGAGAGAGACTGAAGAGGGGTTAAGGTTGAGAGGGATGGAAAATTAATTTGGCGCCCTTTTGCCCGACGCTCTAACTCGCACATAAACTTCTAATTGGCAGCACATTCCGCATACGCCGCGTTGGCCCATGGAAAAACTTTTTGCACCCCAACCCTTGCGTGGAGGATGAGCCCGGCAAAAAGGGCGAAAGGGGAACACAACTTTGACGTTTTTGTGTGCAGAAAAGTTATAATAGATTTTTAGTTTCATTTACTTAGTTGAAAATATTTTAGAAATGGGCGGCGGGCAGCTGGGCGACCAGAAAAACTAATCATTTGTAGTTATGGTCCAAAAGTTGACTTTCAGCCCGCAATGTTCGCAGATTGAATTGAATTGTTTTCGGGGGGCTTGATGGTCATGTCCGGAAGAAGGTCACTCAATTTGCTGTCAATGGGAGTTTTGTGTAAATAGTTGTTGTTTTGAGTTTATCATGTGGTCAGGGTATCAATTTAATGTTAAATGCTGAATGTATTTTGAAGAGAAAATTGAGCTGTAGTTTTGCACAGAAATAAAATGTAAATTGTATATGTATTTCATTAAAGCTTATTAATGTTTAAACACATATCTCTTTTATCAATAACTCTAAATCATTTTAATTTCTACTCACACTTTCTTTGATTAAAAAGCACTTTGAGGCTATGTAAGCAAACCTTTAAACTTTAAGCTTTAAACACTTGCCTAAGTAAATTCAATGGTTGTTTAAAATGTATTCTCCATTATTCATTGGCCTTATCAGTTTAATCTCCTGCAGCTTCTAAAACTCAATTATATTTGTTTATTCATTCTCAAAACTAATCCGGCTATTTAATGTCTTCAACTTGGTCAGCAGAAGCATATATATCTTGGCCAGAATTCCGCCGCCCCAAAGAAAACTTTGTTGTTCTGCTTTCTGGGTCTTGGGGTCTACTATGGTCCTCCTGGCTTTTCCCCCGCTTTTCCCGCTCGGCATTTTCTCGCCTGTCTCGAAAAACTTTCCCCTGGGCGTCATGCTGTCTGTGCTTGTGGCTTTTCGCTGCCAGTTTTATGGTCAACATTTTCCCACACCCCCAGCTCTCTCTCTCTCTCTCTCTCTTTTCCGCCCCTCCTGTTTTGCTTCTTGGTTCATATATCTTTAATTTTTTATGCTCGCCGTTATGTCAGCACATTTGCCATAGCATACTTTTCAGCAGCCACAAAACTTGAGTTGCTGTCATTAGCGGGAAAGATTCTCGAGAAGAAGAATGGCACAGAATGCACTTGAAAAATTAATTATAAAGAATATATTTAAGTAATTTTGGATAATCTTAAAAAAAGACTATTAATTTATTTATACAGAGCTAGCAATTAATTAAAATTAAGACCGAGAAACGGTGTTAGAGGACATATTTTTTGCTCTATAAATATTTATAGCTTCTACTCTAAACAATTTGTTACATACTTGTAAATATTTAAAAAATATAATAATGTATATGACCTTTTAAAAAATTCCCACTATTTAAAATTACCAACAATTAATTACTATTTATTTATTTATTAACTTAATTAGGACTTACCCATTTATTTCAGGTGTATCTCCTGGATTTTATTTGTGTGAGTTGACTGGTTTGTGGCCCATAACTGGGTCAACAATGGGAGCTCTTTGAGGTCCTTTCCCTCATTCCGCAGGACGTCTGCTTCTCCGCCCCACCTCCTCTTGCTCCTTATCATCCTCCTCATCTTCCTTTGTGGTTATCCTGGCTGGCTCCTTTTAGCATTGTCGGGAACCATCGCCCGTTTACAAGTCAAGTGGCGGGCATAACACCAAAAAATTGTGTAACGAAAACAATTTATTTTGCTGTAGAACTTGACGTTTCCCTGCTGCTGAATACCGGCTGCTCCACCTCCTCCTGTCATTGTCAGTTGGCCAGATTTGACAGCCAGATTCTGGACAGTGCCTGCCAATGCATGTGTTTGTTGTAGTTTTTTTCCTTCCACCAAATCTCTTTTATTAACACATTTCAACATGGCATTAAATGCAAGCATTTATTAAATTTGTTTTGTCAGTTAAATCCTTTTTGCGGTTTTAAAATGCCAAATCGCATTTATTTATTTATAATTGCATTTTGCTTTTATTTTGATTATGACGTGTAAATTTAAGTGCCTGCTAGGTTCTGTCCTATTAAATTTCCCTCACAGCCATTTGAGTAAAAAATATTTTAATTACTTTTCAATTGAGATAGGTATGGATTTTCCATTTGACACTCGCATTGAAGTATGCCAAAGCATTTGCATTTGTTAAATATTTGCATTTATTGCATAATATTGGCTATCAAATATTTACATGTCATTGCACCCGAAGCGGGAAATAATTTTGGGCATAAATATTAAATGTTTTGCGGGCGATTGGCTTTGAATATTAATTGAAAGAGCATATTTGCGAGCATTTGTTTTATTGATTAAATTATTTGATTATTTGTAATTTAAAGCTGGCATTTAAAGTGACTTGCTTAAAGTGTTATTTTAGGTTGATTTCTTGTTGGATCTTAAGCACAATTTATTTGCATAGATTTTTAAGCAAACTTTTAAAGTTATTATATCTTTAAAGGTTTGCTTAAAAAGCTATGTTTAATTGAAGCATAACCCTATTGAAATACTATTGATTTTTATTTAAGAAACAAATATTTTTCATTTAGGATATTTTTAAAACTTGTGTGATTATTTTTCATGATAGAACATTATCTTAAATTGTTACTTTCAACTAAATGAATTCCCACAGTTTCATCAAAAATCAGCAAGATTATTTGGCAAATATATACCATTATAGTAGATTTCTCAATCAATATATCCTCAACCATCTACCCATTGTTTAATATTGTCAAATTTACTGAAATTTGGTGCATATTTGACCTGCTGGCAAATGCATTTGCAACAGCTGGCAAACATTTTAGCCCACTGACCAAAACGTGACAATTTTGGCCAAGACAAGCATCGAAAAGCAGACAAACCAAGACTGTGGGCAAACATTGCAGCTACTTGGTTGTTGGCCAAAACCACTTGGCCATGTGTGTGTGCCAAGGCAGCTGTTCGCTTATTGTCAGTCGCTTGGCTTACAGCTCTCGGTATTTGCATAAAGATTCGATTGGAGATGAGGGGAAGCTGGACAAATAGCGCAAAGCTGCCGCAAAAATCAAGGAAATGCATATAGATGGCTCAAAAAAAACCCCCAAGAACTTTTACAGTCAAGAATAGAAAATGTACCATGAATTACTTTTAAAGATTTTATATATGTACTTATTCTTTGTATGTGGCTTATCCAAAAATCTATTTTCCATTAGAAATTTGATAATATTACATCTGTATAGATTAGCCAGATCAATGAAATTGAAATATATCCTCCGATGGATCAATGGCCTGCAGCACAGGCACAACAGGAAATGCAATGGTATTCATCTTGCCACCAATTTCATGAAACTCGTAGTGAATGTTTTTTTCAACAAAAACCACAGTATTGGTTTTCGTGGGTTTCCTAATGTTGTGACTACTGCTGTTGAATGTCCAGTTTCCAGCTTCCGGAATTCTGGTAACCAAATCAAAGCACTGGGCCAACTTCCCTGACCACACAGAGGTAGCATCAAAGTCCATCTTTTCTCGTTTATAAAGTGCCACTGCTTCGCTGAGGGTTCGAAAGGTACTCATTGTGATCACAGCCGTGGGTGTATCTCCGAAATAGTATTGGGGAAAGTCCAAGACAACTATTGGTGATCCTTTTATCCTGCGACCACATCGCTTTTTCGTATCTTCCTCATCGAATTCCTCCATGTGAACAGTTTGACATTTCAGGCGATCGATAATCTTTACTGATCTTAGATAACTCGGATGTTTTTGTATGCGCTCATCCATGGGTTCTAAGCCTTCTCGCAGCTTTTTGATCACTTCATCTCGGATGCATTCTTCCACCAGGAAACACACCACCTGACCACTTCCTATTGGATGCTTCAGATCCTTGATAATGATCTCCAGAGCCTTGTTTATATCTCCGCTGGCAAATAAGATCATTATTTGTGGCTTCACCCATTTCTTGTGGCTTCCATCAATTGGATAATGGTACTGAAGACGACGAAGTAAATGGGCATAAACATCACCACCTAAAACTTCATTGGCCATTGTATTTTCTAACGCGTTGAATTTTGAGATTGATTAATTTGTTTGTAAGTAGTTGCTGGAATTTTTTAAACTTAAAAGAGAACTGTCGTAATATCAACCTTTCGCTTGCTATATAAACAAATTACACCCAGAGCACTTAGTACACTTAAAAATCAAACAAAAGTATGCAAAGAGACTGCGGAAATCGCTGGACCAGCCAGCAAACTATAAAAACTATGTGAAAAACTTGCTCAAATCAGCGTGGAAAACCGAAAGGCCGCATGAACTGAGTGCAAAAGATAAGCCTAATGAAGATTGCCAATTGGCCAATTGTTGCCACTCGGCAGCAGAGATTTTTGTGAGTATTTTTTGTTTCGCCTTTTAGGCAATGGCAAAAAAGAATTAGCAGCAATTAAAGGAAATTCGCAATGAAATGCGATAAGTGCGGCCGATATAAATGTGTTTGAAGTTTTACCATTTTTGTGGGGAAGGTGAAGTCAAAGTCGCTTGCAGCTTAGCTGTGTCGTTATGGCCTGCAAAAATTGGCTCAATGAAATGGAAAATGTGGCCATAAGTGGGTCAAATTGATTCTGATAAATGGCCAATGGCAGCACATAGAATTTAATGGCAATCTATTTCCTTATTGAGCTTTCTTTTCTAATGCCTCTTGTTTCTGTACATTTATCAGTTTAAATGAAAATGGCTTTCATTGACTTTTATTTGCAACAAAACTAACAATTTAATGGATTATATTTGAGTTTTTTGTGGTCAAAAAAGTCTTTATTTTAAAATATATTTAATGATTTTTAGTATTAATAAATGTTTCTCTTTCAGAAACAAGGTTTTGTGCTAAATATGATTGAAAACCAAAAACACATACCTGAGTCAACCTTCATAATAAATTACTGCCTTTTTAGGCTCATAAAAATTACAAGTACCCTAATTAAAGTGCCATCACCATTCCCACACTCGCCTTATAAAGATGTACGTACATCATGTCACAATATTTTGACATCTTGCTGTCAGGCCTGAAATAATCACGGGCCCTTAATGAGATGCAAGACGAATGGGGGACCGCGTTTTTTTTGATAAATTGATAAGGTCTTCGGCAGGTACAAATTACAGGCCAGCAAAGGTTGCCCCCGGTACTCAGACAAGCCCAATTAAAGTCGAATATGCATAATAAAAATCAGAAAAAAAAACAAATGTGAGGAATACGAACAAAAAACAAAACCTAAACTTGTTGTGCATCTTGTGAATCGAGGCAGAAAAACTCAACAGAAGTAGCAACAGATTCTTCAAGGGCGATCGATTAACGCAAAACTGGTTTCAGAAAAGAAACCATATGGAAAATCGGGCAGCTGTGAGGGGCGTTGTAGGTGTCAAAGGCCCCCTTGCATCTCGATGAGTCAGTCTTCATTATGATTCCCACTTTTAATGGTCAAGGCCAAGTCACAGCAGCTCACGATCTGACAAATTGAGTTAATTTAAATATTTGGAGTAAGAGAAACAAATTGGTAACTTTACATTTCGATCGATGCCTTTTACCATTGTCAGTCGCCCACATGAATATTTTTTATTTAAGCCACTTAAGTACAATGCGGAAATTGAGCACATAAGCCTTATAAGGTTAGCAGACCTTTAGCTGCATTTAAAATTCAATGTTTTTATGACATTATGATGGGTATTTATGTTTCCCATTGTTTATTTTGTTGTCCAAAACACCCAATAAAAAAATTAAGTCTATAAATTTCATTAATTTTAACATTATAATAGTTGGTTTACTACAGTACATTTTCAATTGTACATTTTTTCCCTTTCCCTTTTATTCAGCCCACAAATTCCTGTCACTTTAATAAATATTAAAATATATATGAAATGCAGATGGATTAAAAGAGGAAAGTAAATGCATTATTTGCCATAATATTGTATAAAAGCGTGCACGCATTGTGTGCAGTCTGCAACAATGTTGCAATTGCCATCAATTAAATGAAAATCCTCAACAATTTGCATGGCCATGCAAATTATGCTCAACAGGCGGGAAAAAAGCCAATTCCGATGATGCCGGGATGTAACAAAAGAAAAAATCGGAAAATAACAGCAACAAAGAAAGATAACTTTAAGAAGCCGAAGTGTGTATACACTTGGATCATGGGTTGGAATGTGAAATTGATCATAATTAAGTCAAAGATGCAAGTCATAGTTAGAGCACTTACCCTTTTCCTCCTGTTAATTCCTTCCAGTGTAAATTTATATATTTGGTAACTCCAAAAAGGCTTTTTATAGTGTTATCGAAGCAATTATCCATATTGTATTGGTCAGGTTATATATTTGGGGTCGCATGGTTATCACTATCACTATCATTTCCACTATCACTTGAGATGTTAACTCGGTGAAGGCCACGTACAGAATGAGGCGCGAGCGGCGGCTGCGCCTGGTATTTATAGTCTCCGAGCAAAGAGAACAGAGTAAGTGAGAGAGAGAGAGAGAGCAAGCGATACCACTAGAAAGAGGTATCTCTATAGAGATACTCATAGAGAGTGAAAGAGAAAGAGGCAGAGGGAGAGGGACGACAGAGAGTCAGAGATTTGGTGAAATTATACTCAGAGTTTTGCATTTTTATTTAGGATCGAATCAATGACAGCTATATAATATAGTCGTCCGATTTTAATAAAATGAAAACCGAAGTTATAAAATAATACAAAACAGCTTTACATCAAAACAAAATTAAAACGATATTAAAAACTAGAAACGATATTATTTGTTTTCTAAAATTTTTCGATCCTTCCTCTGACAGCGATATATAGCTATATAGTTCTTCGATCCGGCCCGTTATGACTTATGGGTATACATGTGAGATTATAAACTGAAGAGTTTTATTCAAACAAACTATTTAACGTAGAAACGGATATGGCCAGATCGACTCTGATGTTGATTCAGATCAAGAATATACATCCTTTATATGGTTGGAAATGATTCACTGCGTTGCAAACTACTGATTAAAGTTAAAATACCCTGCAAGGGTATAACATAAGTAAGGTAAAATGAAAATGAAAACTTTAGTTGCACAGAAATTGACGTAACGTTCATTTAATTTGCAGGCGAAAGGCCATGCAAAAATAAGTAAAAAACCAGACGTTCAGCTTACTTTCTAAAAACGAAATGGAAAGTTGTCAGTGTGATGAAGGAAATCACTCGAGGATATTTAAATATCGAAAGAGGAACTCAAAGATAGATCAGCCTTAAAGTTTATTTACCTGAAGAGGCTAAAATATGGCAAATATTTGTATATATTTTATAATTAATTAATTATAAGCAATTGACATATTGGTTGTACAATATATAAATAATAGGTAAACTACATATTCCTGTTATATCAGCTTTAAAGTTTTCTCTACCGTGCCATATTCATAATTGAGCTATTATTTTAAAATCTGAGTAATCTGACCTTAAAGAGATAATGAAACCCATTTTAAACCAACTACCAAATTTAATTAATAAAATGTTTCAAGAAATATCTGATGACAGACTTCCCAAGATATTTTAGCTATAAAATTATCTCCCTTTTTAATACATTTATTTTTCCCAGACCTCTTCAATTAGTAAATCCCAGTATCATTATCATGGGCTTATCTATCAATTCAAGTAAAATGATAACAACATTTTGGCCCCTCTTTAAAAAGCGTAAGTGTATGACACCAGCAGAAAATATAACATTAAATACAGAATAAAGATTCTTAAATAAATTAAATATAGAATAATAGAATAGAATAATGGTGAACAAAATTTATTTTAATTTAAATTAATTACTCTAAGATTTATATGCCTTCCCTTCAATATTTAAACATTAAGCAAGTGTCATATAGGCATTATCAGCATACTACCAATTAATCGAAACTTGTCACAGTGCCTTATCAGTAAATACATATATTTGAGAAGTAAGGCCAATTGATTTGAGGAACTCCGCATACAGTTGTCAATGGGATACCGTCTGGTGCGGATCGTAAAAATATTTCGGAAATAATGGCCGCCATACGATCCGTAATCGTTTTCATTATTTTGCTTAAAGTGCTTCTTATTATCTATCTCGTAACTCCTAGTGAAACGGAATTTGAAGAGAAAACTATCTTGAAGGATGAAAACTTTACGAACGTGGAACACTTAATGGACTTTACTAACTTCACATATACCATAGAACAACCATCTTGCGGATTGCAAACCCAAGGATTAATCCTGATCCACTCGGCACCGAATCACTTTGAAAAGCGTTCCGTGATAAGGGAAACCTGGGGTGGCTTTAATTCCTTACAAGATTCTCCTCTGCAGTTGATATTTGCTCTGGGAGCCGTTCAAAATGATTCGATGCAAACATCACTGGTTGAGGAACACTCTCTCTACGGGGATCTACTTCAGGGTAACTTTATAGACACTTATGTGAATATTACCTACAAGCATGTGATGGTACTCAAGTGGTTCAATTCGCACTGTAACCATGCCAAGTTGCTATTGAAAATCGATGACGATATATTTGTGAATACCAAGTTACTCTGGGATAACTTAGTAGAGCCTGTGAAAGCCACCAATACAATCTTGGATTATATTGTACAACAAAGAGACAATGTATTGTTTTGTTCACTGAATCCAAATCCTCTAGTGATACGATCCCTTAAATCCAAATGGCACGTAAGTTTAGACGAATATCCCGATAGTCATTATCCTGACTTTTGTCCAGGCTTCACGGTAATTTATAGCCCGGATGTGGCCAGGAAACTGTACGAAGAGGTTCAAAAATCACCCTACTTTCGATTGGATGACGTTTACATCACGGGAATAATGTCGAAGCGTGCAAATATCACGATCACTGACCTCAAGCCCTTTGTCCTGTATCCCGGAAAGACGAAAAAGAAGCTGCTGAGTGGCGAAATTCCAGTGTCAGCAATGGATTTCCTGGTTTCCTGGCATAAAATCGAAGCCGAGGAGATGAGAACTCTGTGGACTCTGTTCGCCGGCGGCCAGTAATCGGATTCAAGAGCCATGGGCCCCAGGGCCTTCCTCAATCTACCAGCTCCAATTCATTGCAAGTCAAGTGCGTTCAATTTCCTTCGGCCCTCATCAATATAAATCACAACAAAGGGCCCTTGGCAACTGGCTTTTGACATTGTTTACCTCATCAGTTCGTGGAGTCCCTTACATCTACTTGACTGATGTTCCCATCCATTGTTTTTTTCTGGACCAGTTGCCGGGCTCGCCTTTTGATGGATGCGTTTCAGGCAGCTGTTTTTGGCCAACAATGGAGCAAAATAGGACGGAATAGTGATGTCCATAAGCCAAACGGACACTCAACTTCATATTTTGGGGGGCTATGAACTTGGCCAAGTGAGGAGTACATATCAATTTTACCCTTCTGTCAGCATCAACTGGTGTGTTTTGGATTAAAATCTCATCATACATACAGCCTTTTAAAACCTATTAAAGACTTAAATTATTTAGAAACTGGTTAGATTTTGATTCAGTTTTGTGCTAGAAAGAATCTTATATTACCTAGTGCGAACTTATAAATATAATTAAATGATAATTAAAATCTTAAGCTAACTAAGGGTATTTCATATAAAAATGTAAATATACTTATTGATGATAATCTAATCAAACAAAGCGTCTATTATAGTAAACTACATATGTTCTTAAAAGTACTACAAGATAATGTTTGATTGCAATTTCATTAATGAATGAAAAGAAAACCTACAGTTACCTCTTAAAAATCAATAGTTATATTTTTAATTATTTAATAATACCCAAGCAGGCAATAATTTCTAAAGTTTCGTTGTAAAGCCATGACATTAAGCTCAATTTGTGATTCGCGTCTTATCTCATTGGCCATATCTTGTTCGCAGTTTTGCATCGCCTCACTGAAGTTTCCATTGAGGTTGGCAATTTGAATTGCAAAATGAAAACGAAGCCGAGACGCTTATCGGCCAGTATTTATCTTTTGACGGTAGCTGGTTGGGTAAATATTGTCCAGGGCATAAGCACTCCGTATCTCTGAGTTCGTATCTGATTCTGTATCTATGTCGTTTTTTCGAACCCCCCATTCTCTGGCCAAAACAGCTGCAGGCCAAAGTGTCAAAATATATGCACAATCTGGTGTTGCATATATGCAAATTATTGTCACTTCAATATACGAATTACTCTTTTAATTTTCTTCAGCAAGACAAGCGACATGTTGTAATACTTCACAGCCATTAATTATTATATTTAACATTTTTGAGTGACTTATCATGAAAGAAAGATTTTTTTTAAGTAGAGAAATACATAATACATTCATTAATAGTAAAAGCAATAAGGCAGCAGAATCATTAAATATGTAATTAATGTATAAATAATTAAAGGAGGATACTCATTTACTGGATAATTCATTTATAAATATGTACTTATAAAAGGAGAATCATTTACTGAATAAATAATTTATAAGTATTATAGAACTCTTTCTCATTATATTAAATTAATAAGTATTTGATGAAGGAGATTAATTTAATTCTTAGTTATTTTTATTAAAATTTATAACAACAAAGGAAATAATGCAAGCAATATCAATTCTAAAAGTTCTCTGAAATAACTGATATAAAAAATATGTTATATTTAAATAATTAAATGATTGTCACGTAAACAATGACATTGCGATTTTCATTTTTAATTAAATTTTTAGCTGATAGCTTTTGGATATTACTAAGTGTATGTTTCTTTATAGCGTTTTATCACTTATATGGTGCCAAAAATTAAAGATAAACCCACCTTTGGATCAACTTTGCTAAGACAAAGACAAAACTTCTTGCTTTATTGATTAGACTTCCTTATGGAATGTTCAAAAGTGTTACTTATTTTGAGTGAAATATATTTAGCAAATATAAAAGATAATAAATAAAACCAAGAAAATATAATATGAAGTTCTAAAAATTTTATTTTTAAATATTTTTCAAAGCATAAAAATTGCTTTATTTATTGCTTTCTTTTGTTTTCTTGTAAAATAGATTTACGTATTTCCATTGTCTTGGTTTATTTTTACAAAAATCCGCTTTTCGTTTAATATATTTGCCGTATCTCAGTTTTCGCTTGCCATCGATCAACAAGGAGTGGCACATATTTTCCGGGCCATGAAAATAAAAGCACAATCACCCCTTCCCTTGGGTTCTCCTTTTTTATACCCTTACAGGGTATTATAGTTTTAGTCAGAAGCTTGTAACACTAGGAAAAAATTATTTCCGAGCCTATAAATATATATAAATTTATATTTATTATTATTAACAGCAAAGTCGATCTGGGCATCTCCGCAGAAAAACAAAGCTTTCAAATTTTTCAAAATTTTCAAAATAAGATAGGGATACAATGGTTTGTTGAAAAAAAATATCTAAAAATCTCTATTCAAAGAATGCAAATAAGGTTACTTAGGATCGATTGACGATTTTAATTGCAAAGAGCAAGGGTATCTAATTTTCGGCTTCTCAAAATTTCTTTCCTTTCCAGCATTTTTTTTTTTTTTTTTAATTTTCCTTTTTATTTTATTTTTGTTTGACAGGAACAATGCCGCTTTCCTTGCCTTCAGTCATCATATTATTTTCAGTACCGCCTTGTTCCATGTAGTTAGCCATTTTCCGTATGTGTGAACCGTTTTTCCTTTTTTTCTTTTTTTGTTTTCAGCTTTTTCATTCGATTTTTATTTTTTCTTTGCCCTTTTTGAGTTCCGTTCCGTTCCGTTCTCTGAGCGAAGCAACAACAATGGATGGGCAATCCAAAAACGAGCATCCATTTTCGATTTTTCATCAATGGCGGGCCCTTCTTCCTTTCTGGCTTGACTTATTTCTTTGCCGGTTGATGTTTTTCTCCTTTTTTGAAGCTTTTTGGCGATGTTGTTCGGTGCATTTTTATTGGAACGCTTTTGGCTGTTTTTTTGCGGGATGAGGAGAGAAATCGACAAAGGGGGCACTTTTTCCCTTTGGCTTTTTGTGACGGGTTCCTGGCCATTGTTTACTTCCGTTTCCGGTCGGCAAAAGGACCGGCAGGGCAGAGTTTCGAGGGTATTGCCATATGCAAATATTTTCGACATGATTGCATTTTGCTCTCTTTTGAACCCCTTCCCTTTGTGTGTGTGTTTGGGTTGACTTTTTGTTGTTAATCGAATTGATGAAATTAAAAATATATAACTGCATCGGAACGAAATGAAAAATTTAAAGGGTAATGGAGGACATTTTCCCCCTGGCTTATTCTTTTATCTCTTTTAAAGCATTTGTCATGTCGCTTTCTAAGGAAAAAGGACTCTCGTATGTCGCTTAAATGTAATTAAATGAGTTTGTTTATTTTAGAAAATGTACTTTTGCTTTTTCACGCGCTTTTAAGCAAATTTTGAGGCTCTTTTTCGCGCTTTTTTTTGGTGTTCGTGTGGCCTAATTAAGTAAAAATATTTACCCACGTGCCGCCTCAACCCCACACACACACACTTTTCGCATCTTAACGTTTACCTTTTTAAACGCTCTTAAAATGCTTAGCCCTTGTGCTCTTGGGTGATTTTCATTTTATGCCATGTAAATAAAAATTAAAACGAGCTCACTTTTCGCCTCCCTTTCGCGTGTATAATTTCCTTCTCTTTGTTTTATTTCGGGTGGAACTTTTTAAGCGGTTTTTTTGTGACGCGTGTTTAATTTTTAAAGACTTTGTTTTCGGCGGTTGGGTGTTGGAGACCCTTGGAAATTATGTTTATACAGGCACTGAAAAGTTTAACTTTTTTTGTGAGTTGCCATTTCCTTAACAAATGCAACTGATTCCTTTGGGATTTCTGGGTTACTTGGCTAACAAATCTTTTGGCTAATTTTTACATGACTTTATGTCTACTTTTAATCGTTTACTTAACTTTTGTGGATTTTTTAAGACTTTTTCATGATTGGTTTATAGATAAGATTAATTACAAAGAACAATGTTGAAGAAAAACAAACCTAATTCTGATAATTTAATATGTGAAATAAGTTTTTAATCAAAAAGCTATTATTATTAGAAAACTAAAACATTATTAATAATTAATGTTGTAAATAATACATTAAATGCTATTCAGCTGTCAAAGAAATAGAATAAACCAAGTGTCATTTACAAATGCAAGCAAGCTACTTAAGTAAGCCAATGTAAAACCGGAAAAGGAGGTTAGGGAAGGGAAAATATAACCAATCGATAAATGCACGTGTTGGGCAGATATGGAAAAATAGCAAAGGAAAAACGATTTAAGCCAGGTAGGGGGTTATAACCAACAGAAAGCCGGCTTCAAAGCACAAAGAAAGAGAGGTACTAACCCACAGAGAGAGAAAGGGAAAACGAAGGAGAGACAGGATGAAGCCAAAAGCTATGAGGAACTGGTAAGTTGACTTACTCCAATTGGTATTGGCATATTGGCCAAAGTTTTCCAACGCTAAAGTGGATTGCCTCTTGATTAATTAAAAGCTCCTTTGATGCTCCTGCTGTTTTTTGTGTGTTCACCTTTTGAACCTGTATTTTCTTCTATTTCCCCCTTTTCTATTTACCACCTTCTATGTCCTTTCAGTTCAAACTTCAACTCAGGTCCATGGCTCACAGTTTGGCAGTGATATTGACAAAAGTCTTTGGTAGCTGTCAAGGACATTATTGAGATGCACATTCACATCCACAGAAAGGGTTAAGGAAGCAGTACAGATGGGTTTAATATAAAATTACTACGATTTATCAGATGCAACAGGTTGGGAGTAATGTTTAAAATGATTTTATAAACTTTAAAGCATTTACATAATATAATAATTTATAAAACTTGGAAAGAGTAGTTACTAAACTATGCATAAAATACAAAAGTAACTTCTTAGAATTCAATTCAATACTGTATTTATTGTACTTCTTTAAATTATATAAATAAATTAATCATTAAAAGCTAAAATATTGAATTATATTTGGCTTTAAGTTTCTATTATTTTGTCATCATCTGTAAAACTTTCAAGAACGGAAAAGCTATCAACGGCGAATGGGGAGAACCAAAAAGTGTCCTCAAAGTCCTATGCAAAATGTGTGCCAATTTGTGTGTTTGTATTTGGTGTCCTTTGCTAATGGTTTGTCCTGGCTCCTCCTTTTACTCCTCTCTCTCTCTCTTCCTTCCAATTTGCGTAGCAAAGCGTAAATCAATTGCTTGCCAAAGGAGCAAAGGATGCAGCCAAAAGGTTCAATTTTCGGGGCTGAAGAACAACTAAAACTAATTGCTTTAAGGTCATGCTAACTGGAGATTAACCAGGAAATTCAAGCAAACTCATGCTCAACCAAATATAGACATGAGATAATCGAATCAACCAGAAATTGACCGCAAAAACTTGACCAAAAATGTCTAATAAGGCAATAAAAACAAGAAAGGAAGCTAGCTTCGGAAAGCCGAAGATTGTATACCCTTGCAGACCGAAATTCGATCACTAGAGTTAATACAATATTAATTATATATATTATGTTAAAAAACAATAATGAAATGCCTGCATTCATAAACCCTATTTTCCTCTATTTTTAACGATCGTTTGTATAGCAACTATATGATATAGTAGTCCGATTTTTATAAAATTTTACACAAAATTCTAGATTAATATATAATAAATATCAAATTTGATGAAAATCTGTTGAAAACTGGAAAAGTTATAATTTGTTTTTCATAAAATTTTCCGATCGTTCATATCACAGTTATATATATGTATATATAGAGTCTACCGATTCGCCATGCTTCGACTTATATGTATACTAGTAAAATTATATAGAAAAATAACTCCATAATTTTATAGCTTGCTCTTAAATTTGTTCCAAAACAAATCTCGCACATCAGTGCATATGATTCCCAACTGGTTCTAACATCCCCAGAACGAAGTGACTGCTGCCGGCCAAGTTTCGGAAATGTGTTGTGTTACAAAAGTTGCAAGTCATTGTGTATTAGTGTTGAAAATTAGTAACTGATAATACATACTTACTGGTCATAGATACTTACTGATCATAGTTACTTACTGGTCATAGATACTTCCTGATCAAAGTAACTTAATGCTCATAGTTACTTATCGATTGTAGTTAAGTTAAATAGCGCGCTGCTCCTCTCTGCCGCTCCCCCTCTCTCGCTATGTTAGTCGCTCTATGTTAATCTCTAGAGGCAGCTCCTCTCCCGCCCACTCACTTTCTCTGCTCCTCTCTTTCCTCGGGGACTATAAATAGAGGCGCTAAGGCCGCGCGCGATTCAGTCTGTCCTAGGGGTACCTAGTGTTAACATCTCAAGTGATAGTGATAGTGATTACCTTTCGATCCCAAAACTATGACGTGGCCAATGCAATACATCTGGATGACCAGGAAGAAGCTCATTTTGGATGGAGTCACCCAATCTTGGTCACTACACTATAAGGAAGTAAACAATGACGTGTCCTCTACTGCGGTAAGTCTTAACCATGACATTTATATTATGTATGAAGAAGCTATTGGTGGTATCAGACCTAGGTATAGCCTTTATATTCCAATTTATTTTCCTATTGCCATGGTCCTATATGCATACTTAAAAACTTTCTGATATTTTTAGATACTTTTGTTACTTACTGGTCATAGATACTTACTGATCAGAGTTACTTAATGTTAATTAATGTTAAAAATACATACTGATCCTCTACATTTAACAAACGTTTATCTTGCAGTTATATAGTATTCCGATTTTCAAAAAACTAAAAACGATTTTCTATCATAATAAAAGATAGTTTTGAATAAAATAAGATAAAAATATGTTAAAAACTGTAAAAGTTATCCTTTTATTTCTAAAATTTTCCGATTGTTCCTATGTCAGTTAAATGATAAGTCGTCCGATCTGGTCTGTTCAGATTTATATAATATTGAGAGTATATATAGAAGACTAACTGCAAAGTGAGATATTGAGAAACTAGTTTTCGAAGAAATGAACAGATGGACGGACAGACGGACAGACGGGCGGACGGACAAGAATATATATACTTTATATGGTCGGAGATGACTGACTCACTGCGTTTCAAACTTCTGACTGAAATTATAATACCCTGTAAGGGTATAAAACGGAGCAACAAGTAAATGTGGCATTAAGATGGCGTGACCAGATATTGCATGAGAATCGATAAAACTCGAACATGAATGGGAACCAAAGTGGGTTGTATTCGAACATTGAATCGAACTAAGATTGAGCTAACGGGGTGAAATCATGAAACATGATCACGATAGTGTTTATAACTTAATTTTAATTCTTTATAAACCAGCAAATAGGAGAACATTTGGCTCCTTTTATATGAGTTTCTATACTAAATATTAAAAATGATATATCATAATGCAAAGTAGTTTATTAAGTCAATTGTATATACTTTTTTTGTTTTGAATAAAGTAAAAAACTTAAAATACTTTCATTATGTATATTTAGTACCTCTGATTAATGTCATTAACCATTTGTCACATCTCCTTAACCAACTTACTCTGAATTCTGGCCAGATACTTGAAATGGCCAACTCATTTTCGCTCCTATCAATTCAAGACATTCCCCAACCAAAACAAAAGCCTCCACACACAGTCCTGACCATCATTAACATGAGCAAGGCAGAAGACCAGATTATATATATGTATATATGTTATATATATAAAGACCTGTTGTCCCCTTGAAATACAGTAAGAGAAATATATGTAGCTTTGATATTGTAAATAAGTTTCTTTGACATACCAAATATTAAATTTTATAATGAATATTAAAATATTAACTAAATAAATAATTTATAGTTTTAGAATAAGGATTCTAGCCGAGGAATACATAATCCAAAATTGAAAATTAAGTTTTCTTAAATCAAAAGTCACCCTTAATTGAACAAATTTTTAAATAAATTTATTTTAATATATGAAAAATAATCGAACTAATATTAAGCATTAAAATAACTTTCAGATAAATTTATTTCCAAGAAAGCCCTTAAAAATCTTGTATATTTTTTCCCCAGTGTACATTTTATATCCGTGGAAGTGCCAAACCGGTCCAGGAGTCCAGAAACCCAGGCAGATATCGAACCCTAATGGCGCCAACGACGATTACTGAAAACATAGACATTAAATGCAGAGGAAGTGACATTAATTGCATTGATTTAGCAAAACCCTACAGCCCCGGCTAACTGATAAAAGTTGACCATGTCTGGGCTCCATTACTGGTATCCCCCTCCCAAGGCCTACTCCTATCCACACAACACAATTTTCCAGGGAGGGGGAGGAAGGGAGAGGAAATGAAAATGAAAATAAGTCGGCCATTACGCACTCATTGCGTATGCACTTCCAATTATTTTGAAATTGTTGCTAATGAGAAATTAATTTGCAAAATGCTAATCAAGCGGTGGCAGTTGGTCGTCGCTCAGATCTCCATTCTAATTGCAACAAATTGCAAATGAGCATGGGAAACGAACGGATCGAAGTGATTTAATTAAGACCAGGCCAGGCCAATCGCACCGAGTTTCGGTATTTCAACATCTATAGTCGGTTTCTGACTCTAATGCGGATTTAATTGTTTCAATTCGGACGACGAAAGACCAACAAAAAAAATATCGAATTGTAATTAGAACAGCATTGAGCAGACCTTGGCAACATTGCATTTTAAAAGGGGGTGAAAGGATCACGAAGTTGATGATACCCTTTAAATAAAGAACAGATAAAAAATATATAATTAAATACCAACCTTGTAAGCGTCAAAAAAATGAAGTAAAATATTAGATAGGTTTCCTTTAACTCTTACCCTACCTCCACCTATCAAATTAAACCACATAACCGTAAGGGTTAAATTAAATTAAATTAAACTTAGAACACATCATACTCCACAAAAATTCCTAGGATATCACAACGGAAGTGGATTGCAAGTTGCAACATGTTGACTCAAACATTGTTATTAGCAGTAGGAGGTAAAAAAAAACGCCATAAATACAAGCACCGCTCAATAAATACATCAGCGGTAAAGACAATTGGGGCGTGAGGCAACATTAATCAAAACTTCAGGTAAATAAAATCTCACCTGTCCTTCTCCTTCTCGCCTCGTTCACCTCTTTCTTTCTTCCAGTTGCAATCAGAATTTCAATTTTTTCACACCATCCCAGTGGCCAGTGCAACGGTAAATTATGTGTGTGTGTGTGTGTGTGTGTGTGAGTGTGTGTGGGTGTAATTGCATGTGCCGATTGATTAATTCTGATTGATTAATGGCATTTAAAGTTCGTGCGTGCTTGCGTGTCGGCAATCAGCTGCTACTTACATACCTGACTAAAAATACTTCAAGTTGCGAATTTATGAGGTAAACATATTTCAAGAGTTGCGCCAAAATTAAAAATAATTACATACATATATACGAATTTGAGAGATTGCGAAGAAGAGAGATCTCAAAAAAGATCCAGGACTAGGGCATAGGATGCATCCTTATCCTGCTAAATTTTTAACTTATAGTAAATTTGTTTTGTTAGCGATAAGGAAAAAGTTTCAAGTCAAATGATGTTTTTAACTTCTTGTGGTTCCATATTCATAGGTGAAAGTAGAGTGCCTTTTTTATTTTCAAACTTGGTATTCATAAAAACTTGAGCTTGCCAAAGCTATAAAGTAAATGTTATAAGAATATAATAATAGTATAAATTTAATATTTGAGAGTATAAGACTTGCTTTTGTCGAATTTCAATTTAAATTAAGTTTTACTTTAGGTTCTCCAGTAAATACAATATTAAATAGTTTCTGAAAACTGTTACATTTTCATATCAAAACTTATTAGAAAAAAATAAAAATAAATACTTTTGAAGAAGGTTTACTTATTAAGAAAAAGTCGTAAATTTTTTTTAAAACATTTCTCCCATAGGTTTGATGGTGATCTCATGAACCTGAAAACAATTTTGTTATATTAGAAGTACTTTTCAAATGATTCCACCTTTACCCACCTGAACATGAGGTGGCGTCCTCAAGGCATACATCACAGCATCGGCAATATTTGCGGGATCCAAACGTGCCATGTCCTTCACATAAAAGTGAATCTCCTCGGGAAAGATATTAGTATTGACTGCTCCAGGACATATTCCGGTCACTCGAATATTTTTCGTATGCAACTGGAACTCTTGCCGATATGTCTCCGTTATTGCCGTGATGGCGAATTTTGTAGCCGGATAGATATTAAACGAAGGCAGGACATCTATAAAGTTCAGCACCTGATGTCCAGCGATGCTGTTGATGATGAGTACATGACCCTCGTTTCCCCTTTTCTTCATGTTATTAAAGGCCTCCCTTGTGCACCAGATCACACCCATCACATTCGTGTCCAGGACCTCTCGGAGTTTTTGTGTATTACCCGGAGTAACTAGTTCCGTTTCACGTGTAATGCCAGCATTGTTCAGCAGAACATCCGGACCCTCCAGCTCCCGTTCGATCCAGTCAAAAGAGCTGATCACCTGCTCCTCCTTGGAGACATCACATCGTCGTGGTATAAAGTTAGCCTGCAGATGCGACGGCAGGCTGTCCTTAAGTTCCTTGAGTTTTGCCTCCCTTCGAGCGAGGCCCACAACCCGTAATCCTGCTCCGATCATGGCCCGGGCACAGGCAGCTCCTATACCACCACTGGCACCAGTAACCACCGCCAATTTGTTGTGCCAGCGCTCCATTGCATCTGATGAATGAATGAATGAAATGTGGAAACTTGGTATGTATATAGAAACCCTCAAAAGCAAATGAAGGGCTTCTTCACTTGGAAAAAAACAAAATGAAAATGTTTAAAAATAAATTAATGGAGTCTTAAAATATAGAAATTCATAAGATAATATAGAAATTTCTATGCTGACTTAAAATCCAATAAAAGAATAGCCAGAATAATAATGCTTAAAAGTATTATTGCAATAATAAGTACAAACTGTAGATTTCATACCTAAACAAACTGTTTTTATTGATTACAATTTCCTTTAGTTTTTTATCTATATTTCTTTTACTAAATTTCCCATTTAAATATATATAATAATCCTCTTTTCCCAGTGTAGCTAGAGTATTAAGGTTAATCGCTAACGGTCAAATATGGGGCTTGCTGCGGTCATAGGCCTTTGAATACACTGAAAATATTTACCATAAGTAAATATACTATATAACAAATATTTATTTTTTAAATTTAAGGGCAGAGTTATAATATTATCACAACTTTTCTTTCAAAACCCATTCACTTCTCCATTTAATTTTGTAAATCGCTTTTAAATATCACAAATGCTTAAGACCATAGTTTTTTTTAGTAAATGTTTTTTTATTTAGGGAATAAACAATTTAAAAATTATTTTAAGCTTCACAAATAAAGCGATGCTTAGTACTGCATGGAGAATCGTAAAAATAATCGTTAATTAATTGCACACAATGTTCATTATTGTTGTGGTTGTCGGGTTGTCTTTTTCTCCAGTTCAAAAAGGATGCTGGCTTGCCTGAGGATGTAACGAACTCCCCCTCCTTATCCAAATCGTTGAGATCCAGCCAGTAGCCAACATCATGTTTCAATTTACGTTCAATAAGATTTAGCTCCTCGTTGTTCCTGATGGTGGCTAGTTGGCCGCCCATCTTTCGACAGGCGGCTTTGGCGGAAAACCAATCCACATTTACCTTGGTGGAAATGTAAAAAAGCCTCGATCCGATCCTCTTGAAATTATCTGGAACAAACCACTTCTCCGGAGAATGATCGTTCTGCTCCAAGATCAGATTCTGCTGATGTTCCAACTTTTGAATTTTCTCCTCGACGACATTCTTCAGAACATTCAGATCAGCTTCTGTCCAAAACACTTTCTCTTTGAAGGACGTTCGGACCACCATATGCAATACTTTCTGTAAAGCCAAGAGCTGGTCTTCAATTATCTTCAACTCCTCCGCCGGTGTGATAAAAAAAGGAGGTTCCTCTAGCTTTTTGTCATCTGAGCCACTGGGGGGTCTCCTCATGGATCCACAAGCATCATGTGCAAAAAGAGCGATGAAAAGGATTATTGCTGTGTTTCTGAACATTTCCGAGTTCTTGTAATTACTGATTATTTATGCCTTGAAAGCGCTGTATTTATAGGCCAACCCGGTAATGGTTATTTTATTAAACTGATAAGAAACATCTTTTTACAGAAAAAGAACACTGCCCGTGTACTTTGTACATAATATAATCGCATCAAGTAAAGACAATGAAGTGATTAACATTTTCTACTTGGAAATGCATCCTTTGATAACAACTTCTGGGAAGAAGAATTCACATAAAGATTAAGATTCATACGAAAGGTTCTCATTGGAATGCCTTAATAAAATAAATAAATAAATAAATAAATAAATAAATAAATAAATAAATAGTCCATATAAAAACAATTAATAAATAACCAGTCTTCCGCCCAATTGATAGGACATGGCTATCTCCTTTTCAATGTTAAAGTGGAGGTTGTCCTTTTTGATATTTTAATGTTTTAATTGCAACAATTGAAGCAGTTTAAGAAAATAATATGTTCCATTATTCTATTTAATTTAATATAATCGTTGCTTTTCTCCGTGAACAAACAACAAAACTCGAATCTACCCGACTATTTTGGCTCCAATTTGGAAATAAAGTTAAAATAAAATAGTTAAAAGGAAATAAAGAAAAAGATTATATGATATTATGGCAACGATTTTACCAATCGACCCTTGCAAACATAATTGAATAAACCCTTTTTTTAAATATAATAATCATCTCAAATCTCAAATAAATTTTAGTAATAAATGTTTTTGAAATGCAATTTAAATATTACTAATAGCATAGCAGTCAGCTTTTGTCCTGCCTTACATATCAGCTGATTGTGCCTCACAGGGTGTTTAGTGTTCAAATTGTCATAAACAAAACAAATCGTCTTTTTCTAATTTGTACGATTTTTACCAATTTTAAGGTAAATATATTTTCTATTCAATAAAAATGATATTCAAAACTATTTGTTGAAACTCAGGGCAATGGAGGACACGTGTAGAATTTGCATGAGAAAGTCGGATACAGCCTTGGTCAACATACTTGATGAGATGCCTCCTGGAGCGGAAGTTTCCATTGCAGATATGATTTCTCAATATACTGGCTTATCGGTTTCCAAAGGGGATTCCCTGCCAGAAACCATCTGCTCCCCTTGCCTGCAGGACGTCCGAAGCGCATTTCAGATAAAACAATCGTATGAGGAGAACCGGGAGCACCAGAATCATTCAACGGAGGAGGAGGAGCCCACGCAGATGGAATTTTTCACCATAACTGAATTCAAATGTGAGGACGACGAGGAGGAAATCCAAAATTTCAATTCTGGAATCATAACGAAGGCGTCGACGGGAATTTAAGGCAGAGTTTGGATCCATATGGCGACTATACCAACTTCCAGGTGAAGAATGAGCCAATTGAAGAAAACTCTGTCGGAGAGGTGGACTGCGAGGTGGATCATACCGAATGGCAAGTGAAAAGCGAAGAAGCTGAATATGATGAAGAACCGGAGGATGATAATGATAAGGATTATATCGACGAAAGTGAGTTCCTTAGCCAAGATGGACAAACTGCAGAAGAGCTACCCTTCAAGTGTACCCACTGCTCCAAGTCCTTCTCAGACCGACGCAAACTCAAGAAACACATACTGTATCACAACAGTAAAAAGACATACCAGTGCAACCAATGTCCAAAGTCATTTCTTTCGCCATCTAACCTGGAGAACCACGTCCGTACACACACCGGAGAAAGACCGTATAAGTGCTCCCAGTGCTCAAAGTCGTACGCCCAACTATCTGCCCTCAATACACACTACTTTAGTCACACCGGTGAAAGACCCCACAAGTGTCCTCACTGCCCGAAGGCGTTCCTAACGTCACCTAGTCTCAAAGTGCATGTCCGAAGTCACACCGGAGAAAGGCCCTACCAGTGTACACTATGCTCAAAGACTTTTCTGAGACGATCCTATCTGGATAACCATTACAACGTTCATACTGATGCAATAAAAGCCACCGAGAACCTTGAGGGATTGGAGGTCTTCAAGTGTACCCATTGCCCAAAGACTTTCCTAAAAGAAACGTGGCTGAAGAAACACATACGCAATTATAGTAGTGAAAAGGCGCACAAATGCTCCATCTGTCCAAAGTCCTTTATTTCCCGAAACAATCTAGAAGACCACATCCGCACTCACACCGGGGAACGACCCTTTTTGTGTACCCAATGTCCAAAATCCTTTTCAAGTGCCGTCGGACTCAGGCGGCATATCCTTACACACTCAACTGAGAAACCATACCAATGTCCCCATTGTCCCAACTCCTATACCATAAAGGAGAATCTGACGAGGCATATTAAATCACACTCGTCGTCTCTCAAGGCACCCTTGGACAGTGAGCAAACTTTGGAACAAGAGGATATACTTGGAAAGTAATATTTTAAATTACTTTCCATAGCATTATGTTAGATACATTTTATGGGAAGGCCTTTGCCCTATTTTAATCTATAATTTTAAATAACCAAATTTTTCATTTATATTACCAAAAAATATAAACAACTATCAAAAAGTATTTGTGTTCAAACGAATAAAATTGTACAAATATATTTTATTAACACCATATTTATTAATACCACATATTTCTGGAAAACATAATTAGACATTTTATGTTAACTTTAATTATAAAATGTATTTAAAATAAAAAGTTTAAAATTTTTAAAAATTATTTTTAAATGCATTTAACACACAGCTGTAAGCTATGGTCCTGCTTCACATGTCAGCTGATTGGGCATCACAGGGTGTTTCTGTTGTCAAATTTTTGTTATGGTTTGTAAAGCATATAAGGTAAATTTATTTTATTTTTCATCGAAATACACAAACCTCATTATTGTTAAATACTATTGTCGGATAATTAAAATTTTTAACTGCCTTTTAATTCATTTAGTGTTAACCGAGCAAAAGCTGGGTGTTGTGACAAAAGAACACAAAACATAAACAAAGCCTGAGCGCACCTGCGAAACGTGGTGTTCTTTGGCCGTAAGGCATCTGGTCATACTAACCTATTTTGCCAAAAAAAAATGCGCATAAAAACGATAAATTGGATTTAAAAAACGTTAAAACAACATAAACAAGACAATAAAAATGTCAGTGCTGCGATTCCTGGTAACGCGCCAGGCTTTGGCTATCATGGCAAGACCCAGGATTTTTAATATACTTCAGAAACCAGCACAAATCGCCTTGGCCTCCACTTTGTGCAACCAAAATAGCAATCAACTCATTAAGGATTTAACAAAATCGAATGGAAATCCAAATTTAATGCAAGTGAGAAACCACAAACGCTTCGGACATCAGGGTGAAAAGACGCCGAATGTCACAAAGTACTTTCACATGTTCATCCTGAGCCTATTCCTGATATCGGTATTGGATTGGAGCAAGTGAGTAAAATAACCAATAAATTATCGCATTTTATATTCACACACGAAATCTATTTTTAGGGTAAAGCGTATGCTGATGCCCAAAGTGGATGCGGATGCTGGACAACGACCATCCTCGGCCGCCGGCGTGAATGGTGAGGACAAGCCGTCCACTACGGAAACAGAGGAGAGCGAGGATGAGGAAGGAGGATCGGACTTACACCTGCACGAGGGAAAGAAGATTCGTGAGAAGGTCGGATTCCGCGAGAGGAAGGTACATACATAGCAGCTTTTAGCTCTGGAAAGCAATATATAACTCGGCCTTGTTAACGCTGTTTATAAAGCCTTTATTATATATCAGGTTTAATCCGGTTTTCACAGTCTAATAATCTATGGTTTGCCAAAAGTTTTTGAATACAAAAATACGTCAAAGAATTATATCAGTTTTGGAAGATAATGACTGACATTTTTGCAAAGAAGGTATATTCCTTTTTAGCTTGTCTTGAAAGGATGCAAATCATAAAATGAGAAAATATGATAATTGACAAATCAGTCGAAATATGTGAAAACCGAAGTAAACCCAATTTATACTATTTTCCAATATATTTTAAAGTTTCTTTAATTACGTTTACCGCAAAATCCTTGGTTTTCTTTACTTTTATGTTATGTGACGTCTTGATTTTTGTTATGTTACACACATCCACCCGTGAAGATCATTGAGTATGAGAACCGTATTCGACAATTCTCTACGCCGGACAAGATATTTCGATACTTTGCCACAGTACGATTGCAGGACGCAACCCAAACCATAGTCTGTATGACGCCCGAGGATTTTCTGCGCTCCATTTATCCGGGAATCAAACAGCCAGATGGTAAATCAAATCGACGGAAACTCAGAAAACACCTTAACTAACATTTAGTTTTTAACTTAATTTTAGTTTAGTTTAAAAATCCTCTTGTTTAGTTGATTAGCCTTCATTTGGAATCAGTGTTGCTCTTTATATTCAATGTCATTGTTGCTATTAGCTAAAGTAATGTTGTTTGCCTTAGATCATAGAGTACGAGAACCGTATTCGTCAGTTCTCGACGCCGGACAAAGTGTTTCGATATTTTGCCACCATCCAGGTGCCAGTGGCCGATGATCGTCATGAAGTCTATATGACACCAACCGACTTTCTTACCAGCATGACACCGGGCATGAAGCAACCAGATGGTATGTGCTAGCAAACATTGGGACAGGGACATATGAGATGACTCTCTAGTTTGTAGCAAACTAACACGATTATAATAACAAGGAGAATTTGTATCTAACAATATGCACATTTCATATTTTTATAGGATTGGGTCTGGACCAATATCGACGATATGATCCCAAGGTAAAATTAATAAATTAACGTATTTAGAAATTTATTTGCTTATTAAATCCTTTTCCCTTTTCAGTCCGTTGGCGAACAACTTAATCTGCACTTGGAGAAGAACAGTATATTCTACAAGTTGGGCTCCTTTGGCTTAATCACCTTCTCCGATTACATATTCCTGCTCACCGTTCTCTCAAGTAAGTAAAATAAATTAATGTAATATGTAAATTAAACAAATTATGTTTATCGTTTCAAGTTTCTCGTCGGCACTTTGAGATTGCCTTTCGTATGTTCGACCTAAACGGAGATGGGGATGTGGATTGCGAGGAGTTCGAAATGGTTGCGACATTGGTGAGGCAGCAAACGAGCATGGGGACACGGCATCGTGATCATGCCAATACTGGCAACACCTTTAAGGTAATATAGGAAAATTCTCTTCGAGATTAGACAGTACCTCGAGACGTACTAAAAAAAACCATTCCTTCTTTTGTATACTTGTATATTCTCTGTCTTTTGGCTTTGATCTCCTGTATATGTATATTGAACGCGTGTCTAAACTGTGTACATAAAAAAAACTCTTAACTTCCCTCTGTTTTTGACGTACTCACAGTCCTTGAAGGTACTTTGTGTGATAATGGTTACTGACTTATATTTTGCCCTTTTCGAACTTCTTTTTGAACATCAGTCACATTCGCACCTAACTAAGACTAAATCACGCTAGAAAATCCACAGATGCACCAGCTCCCACGCACACAAGTTACTGCCCATAAATGTTAATCATAAATTCTCTACAAAATAATATTAATTTATTATTGTTAAATACTTTCTTTAGGGTGTGAATTCTGCCTTGATCACATATTTCTTTGGCCCCAACATGGACGAAAAGCTGACAATTGAAAAGTTCTTGGACTTTCAAGAGCAACTTCAGCGGGAAATTCTATCGCTTGAGTTCGAAAGAAAAGAACCAAACGATGAGGGAAATATAACCGAAGCCGATTTCGCTGAACTACTTCTGGCCTATGCCGGATATCCTTTGAAGAAGAAACAAAAGAAGTTGAAGAGAGTAAAGCGGAGGTTCAGGGATCACGGCACAGGCATTTCCAAACAGGATTATCTTGATTTCTTCCATTTCCTGAACAACATTAACGATGTGGACACTGCCCTGACATTCTACCACATTGCGGGAGCCTCGATTGATCAACAGACATTGCAGCATGTGGCAAAGACAGTGGCTATGGTCAATCTATCGGATCATGTGGTGGATGTTGTCTTCACAATTTTCGATGAGAACAGTAAGTTTCGTATAAAACGTTATTATCATAGCTAAGAGTTATTTATACAGATGACAACCAATTGAGCAACAAGGAGTTCATTTCGGTCATGAAGAATCGCGTGCAACGCGGTCTGGAAAAGCCCAAGGATACGGGCTTCCTGAAAATGATGAGATCTGTGTTCAAGTGCGCCAAGGAAACCAAACCCGTGCTGTTGGACATCTAAGCATAATAACTACTCCATTGTGGATTCTCCCGCTCCAAGCGCGCCTCAATCTTAGTCATTTTTTCCTACGCTTACACGCTTTTTACTATTTATTTTGTAGTTAACGTTACTTAAATCGATTTTAGCTCAATCTCTTAAACCCAAGCAAGTTCTTCGAAGACGAAAATTACTCTTGTATATTTCACCGACTCTTGTGCACTTAATACGTTTATTTTGTAATACCAAAATATATCATAATATTTATAAATAAATACAACAAATTGAAAAGGTGGTTATATTTTATTGGAACATTTTCGTTCCAGTTCAGTGTTTGCCACATCATTCTTATTGCTTTGCAATTAAGGTTTTTTGTGAAATAAATATGTTTTAAATTAATTTATATAATTTAAGGTTTCGGAATAGCTCTATTCCAATGAATCATTGATGAATCACAAAGTGAAGTTAAATATATCAGGGAATGTATTAAAAAAAAGGCAAATGTATGATTATGACTACCTAGAATGATCCTTAAAGCGTTTAAGACTTAAGGAATGCTTCACTCAGCAATATTACAATTTAATCTTTTAGATTTATAATCTTTTATAAAAATATAAACTTATAATCCTCATAAATTTAAAACTTACTTTCAATAACCTGCTATTTAATATCGCATCCAAAATGTCAAGCAGAATATTGATTGATCGGACATATTTCCTTATGCTTATATCAATAATATGAATTCCACATCTTCCATTCCTTATCTAGGCCACATCCACATCCTGATCCTCATCGCCGACATCATCTACACTCATTCCATACAATTCCAAATCGTGCTTCTTAAGATGCGATGTATAGGCTTCCAATTCTGTGAATCTTTGCTGACATTCACAGCACTCGAGCCAGTCTTCCACAGAACTCTCATCATCACTTTCGTAGTTGGAGGATTTCCTATCCCTTAGCTGCTCCAGATGATTGGACTTATGATCAGCATACTCCAGATAGTCCCTGAACTTCGCTGGACACCGAAGGCACTTGTACCAACGGTCTCGGATATGCGTGGCCATGTGTTTCTTCAGCGTTGAACATTCCCTGAAGGGTTTTCGGCACTTGGAGCAGCTGAATGGCTTTTCGCCTGTGTGAATCATATAGTGACGCTTTAGGTTATGACGCGTTCCAAAGGGGCGATGACATAGGGGGCACGGATAGGATCGACGAGTGCGACTTCTAGGCTTTGCCAAAGTATTGCCATCATTGCTCAGGGAAGACGAAGAGTTGGCGCTACTGCAACTACGCGGAAGTGGAGGACGACTTGGTTGAGTGGGAGGAGGAATCTTTTCCGGCGCAGACTGAAGTGTAGTCGGTATCAGGGTTACCATCAATGTGGGCAGCGAAGGCACAGGTGGTGGCTGCACCTCTTCTTCTGGTTCATCAATCTCCTCTTCTATTTCCTCCTCTATATACTCATCTTCCTCTTCCATTTCCTCTTCTGCTTGATCCTCCACTGGCTTGTCCCCCATCTCATCTGGTTGTGGTTTTACCATTAGATTTTTGCTTTCACATTCCGCACACCTGGTGGCATCCTGATCCAGCGGTTGCCCCAAATGACAGATCATGCAGATGAATCTGGGGTCATGAGAGTGCCTGCGGCGATGCTTTTTTAGATCACTAAATTCCCGGAAGCGACGTTCGCAGAGATCACAAGGAAAAGGTCGTTCCCCTAAAATAAAGAGTAGAGATATTAGGAAAGAATTTATAGAAATTAAATTTAGGAAAAATACCTGTATGTATCATCATGTGGCGTCTTAGATTATAGTTAGATTGCACTTTTTTACCACAGTCAGGACACTCGTACAGGTGACGTCCCCTCCTATTGACATACGAGCGTTTCCTTCTTGACGATGCAGGTTTCTTTCTTATGGCCCGTGGGCGCTGCTTTTCCTCTTCCTCTTCGTCGGAGGGCAGGACAATCACCTGCTGCTCCTGGGAATTTTGAGGCGTGTTTTTCTCGTTTTCCAGGACACAACTAACAGTATTTGACGGAAGATTAACATCCTCATCTGCGTCGCTATTTGCATCCTGTTCGCTATCGCTGAGCTCGATTTCCGCCACAATCCTGTGCCCCTGTTTGGGAATCAATTCAATATCCGGCGATATCCTTTTTATAGAAGAATTCCAATTGGCCAGACTTCGAGCGGCGCTTATTATTAACCCATTGGCTTGGGAAGCATCCTCCGCATCCAATTCAATGACCTCCTGTTCCCTTCTTTTCCTCTCTGCCTCCTTTTGTGCCTTCTCTATATCCTTGAGTCTCTTCATTTCCAACTGCTGCTCCTGTTGCTGCTGGGCTATGCGCAACAGGAAGCCCTTGATTTTGACATCATCTATGGAGACAAAGTTCTCCTCGGGCTCCTGGTACTCATATCTGACCGGATCGGGGGGAATTAATCCGCAGCTGGCTCCACAGCTGGCATCACAGCAGGCAGCGCCCAAGCAGCAGGATAGAGCAGTACAGTCGCTGCAACAGTCCAAGCAGGACGATGACTTATTCAGGGTCAACTCCATTTTAAAGGTTTAATGCTGTAATTAAGAAATTTAAATTGATTAAGAGAATAATTAAAAATAGTATAGAACACCAAATCGTGACTTATTAATTCATAATAATTATTTTAATAATTCTTTGGGATGATCGTGTCCTTGCATCAAAGGTTGATCACTTTCAAGGCTAATATCTCGCATGTTCCATAAGAAAAATGTATAAAACAAAGACACACTCTTCTCTTTGTGTCCTGTCTGATTTAAGTGTTTACTAACCATATGATCTGAAAGGATATTCCGAAATTCAAGGATAAAGGCTCCTCCGACTATGTATCTTTAATCCCCGATCTTTGTTCTTTCTTTCAACTGCTCCCCTTCCTTTGGCGCTTTGCTTTCCTTTACTCTTTTTTTATCCGCGATTTCTGTGCTCGGCAACGTGCTGCGACTGCCGAGCGATGAAGTGAAGAAGAAACTGGATTCGCGAATCGCGATTTGCGGCTTGCCGAGCAGCAACCTCTCGACAAAAACAACAAAACGCCACAAAAGTCGAGTTTCAGTCGCCGTTGGCAGCGCTGCTTGGTCTGTGAATCAGCGAAGCGAGCAGAGCAGCAGCAGCAACAACAAAAACAACAATGGGCGCTGCAGGCTTTTTTATTTTTCGAAACACGAACGTGAGCCTTATCCCCAAGCCCACCGCCCCTTCTCTACCCGTTTGCGTGTGTTAACTTGATTTTTCTTCGGGCCACGCAAAAGCGAGAAACAACAAAAACAAAGAAAATGCGCACAGGGCAAGCCCCAAAGAAAAGGCAACAAAAAAAAACAACAATTACAGGCAAGAGCAACAGGCGCAACAACTACAAGAGCAACAACAACAACTCACGATTTTCAAGACTACTCAGAGAGCCAAAGAGTGAGAAAGAGAGGCAACAGAATGGGCAGTTGGGGGTGTATGGAGCCGTGTGTGTGTGCCAGAGCGAGAGGGATGCGTGGGGGAGGAGGACTGAAAAAAAGGGAGCAGCGTGACGGAAAAAACAGTAACAATAACAACAACGAGACCAGTAGCCACAACAACTACAACATAAACATCAACCACAACAAAAACATCTGGGGAGCTGCGACGTCGGCGTCAACGACGACGTCGACTTATTTTTATTGACGGCCGAGCAGCAGCGCAAAAGTAAAACCGTGCGCCTTAATTTTTGTTATTTTTTATTGCCAGTTGCTTTTCTTCTTCTTCGCTCGTTGCCTGTTGTTTATTGCTTTCCTTTGTGGTATTTCTTTTTTTAATTTCGCAGTAATTGATTTAATTATTGAAGATGGCTTTTGTTGTCCATTTTCAGGCCGAGTATCTTCGGACAAAAGCCTTTCGATCGTTCTTTTTTTCGATCAGTTCGAAAAAGTTGAGGAGAAAGGGTTGAAGGATTTTTTCTTCTTTATTGAATATTCTTTAATGTTCATGACGACTTTCAGTAATTTAAATTTAGTCCTTTAAAACAAAATACAAAAAAAAAAAAATGCATGAAAGCACTTTAAAAATAAGGTAAACGAGGGTTTAAGCATATAGTCCTTAAAAAATTAATCGTGAGAATTACCGACCAAAGAAATTCCAACCTCAGCTCACATAATTTATTGCATACTTTTTAGCCATATATTTAGTCCTTGAAATTGATTTTATCTTCGCATTAAATAGTATATGAAGTTTATTTTAAAGTAAATTTTAATCCTTTATAAATTGTAAACACTTAAGAATGTTTTTAAATTTTTTAGTTATCGAAGAATTTTTTGGCTATTTTTCTCGAAAATTTTTAAGGAGTTAGCATCGTTAAAATTCTCAAAACTTAAAGAAAAAAATTATTAAATTTTAAAACTAAGTACACATATTTGTTACCCTAATAACAACTAGAACACAAAAACTCTCCGAATTTAAAATAATGAATTTTTTATATAGTTCTTATTTATTTTAACACTTTAATTTAACCAACAAGTCATATAAAAATATGATATGTAATATACTTTTTAATATTAAAGCCCAATATACTGATATGCTAGTAATAGCATAATAAAAAAAATTGTATAGATATATATTTTACACCACTGCTATGCATGAATTCTGCTCTTTAAATTCTAGGATATTATCCTTGCTTTTTAAGTTACTATCCTACCCAGAGATCCTTGATATCTACTTGGATGCTAAATAAATCACTATAGTTCTTAAATTTATAGTGATTTCTGCAAAACTTCACATATATTAAATATACTTAAAAGTTAATATGTGTATATTTAAGGATACCTCTCCTGTGTATACTCACATTTCTGAATTAAATTTGTGTAGCTTTCCGAATGTTAAGCCCCCGATCGCGTTCAGGTTTCAGTTCAATCCGTTCTTGGTAAGATAGTATAGCGTGTTTTCTTCTAATTTGTATGCCATTTGCGTGAGTAGCCAAGTTCTGGTTCCAAGCCTGCCACTATGGTCCCAAAGATCCGCTTCGAGTGCTGGGCTCTAGGCTTCCGCCTGGTCTCTCGGTCTCGGGAATATTGATGATCGTGACTGCAGCAGCGCACACTCATTTTCGTACTCGGGTGTTGTTATTTTTTTTCTCTCATTTTCGCTATAAAACTCGTTTATATCGGAGATCCAGTCTCTGGAAGTCAACACACAACGCCCACTCCGTGGTCCGTGTGGAATCGGTTTATCGGTCTCGGTCGGTCTCTCTGGCTCTGGCATTTGCGATGTTAGCCTGGGGGATTGGCATCCGTGTGCGATGTCTCAGCAACTGGCCTAGCCATGTGTCTCGTATCGTGTCCTATCTGTGTGGGGAACCAGTATCTCGGTGTTGGGGAGCGAGCGAGCGAGCAAATGGGGAGCAATGCTCGGCACCTCGGCTTCTGCCTCTCTCTGCCCCCCCAGGTGTTCGAACTTTTTCAGTCCCACTGTCTCTGGGTGCACAACATACACACACACACACACACATACTCATCATGCAGGTGCTTTATAAGGCTTGGATGACGGTGGGGAGATATCGTGCTCGGCGAAAATATACAGATTGTTGGTATTATTTTTATAAATCAGTTACAATTAAATATATATAAATATAAAAAAAAAATTATAGAAATTTTGATATTAGGGAGGGAAATCGAAAGTCCTTTTTAAAGTACTTATAAAATATCTCATTTTAAGTAAAATTGAATTTATAAATTTGAATTATAAAAATTCGTATACTTCAAAAGGGAATATATGGATAAAAATAACAAAATTCATCTTTTTAAGAGCTATGTAATAAAATATATAATAAAATAATTGCAATATTATTTGCAAAATGAACTTATTAATTAGGATTGTATAATACAAATATTTGAAAAGATTTACGAAAATATTAACATACATACCTTTCCAAGACAACTTATTTTCCTTAAGCGTTATCTGAAAAGTAAACGATTAAAAATATATTACAGAAAAATAATCATATTTATAATATTCTTACCCAGATCCATTTTTAAGGGTATCTATAATGAACTATATTCCGAAATTATGACATCAGCTCTCCACACAAATAGAATTATCCATATAGAGTCCATATTCCAATTATATTTTCGATTTAATTCTAAACAGTTGTTTACTATAAACCCCTAGACATCTCCTTACTTATGTAATAAAGCAAAAAACTAACCGATGATCTATTTGAAAAAATGTTTAATAGGCATTTTCTTTCGATCTTGAATCATTTCTAAGTATAACATTTCCTGAAGCTACGTAAATTCGCTTACGATATTTAGAATCGAACTGTAAACCTATATAATATAGGTGTAAATACATATTTATATATATATCGATCAGTTTCTTTTTGGAGATATGCACATATATCGCCGCGAATATTTTGATCACATTATAGGCAATATAATGTTGGATTACATATTACGTACAGGAAACATATTTGGCAAAATTGGGACCTTGTTTGGTAGGCTAACATCTAACGAAACTAAATTATTCATATTATTTATATATATATGCAAAGGTAAACAAAAAAGATTATTTATAAATCGAAACATTTGTAAATGAAGAACATATCATAACACAAAAGATCGGGTGTAATAAATCTGCCTATATAATAGATAAACTTAAGCTAACACATTAAAAACGAATGTTTGCTAGGGATTAAAGAGCGAGCGAGTGTGTTGTGTGTTTTTGTGAAATATGATATGCAATACAGTTGTTTATAGCGTTAGACAAAACAACTTAACTATTTACAACAAAGCTACAAACTAATTATTTAGCAAATCAGTGGGTTCCTATGGGAAACCCACCCGACTAAAGCGAGTTGTTTTTCGGGTCGAGTACAGAAGATTTTGCTTTGGAGAGCTCTACGGATTTTAAATGAAGTTAGTTATATTAGATTTCCTTAAATTTTGTGTGTTCAAGATGCGTATTAAGTAGATAATACAGATCTGACATTAATTACTTTGTCTTCTTACTTTCTTTTAACTTTTCTTTTAAAAAATTGTTTAAATATAAGGCAGAATATGATTTTCTATTTGTATTATGGATTTCCTTGGAAGACAAGCCTAAGATTCTACCTGAGGCTTCCAAAGCAAAATACCCCATGAATAAACCAATATCTATTCTCTTATTATCCTTTCTTTTTGCATTCCCAAAATCGATTTTATCAACCGATTCTTAAAGCTTTTGCGGCACATCCTTGCTGGCGGCACTCGCCGTTCTCTCGTGGTTGACAATGAACTTCTTGGCGCCCGACAATCCCTGCTTGTTGATGTAGAAGCTCTTCTGCGCCAGCGGTGAGCCACCGCCGCTGCCATCCGAATCCACAACCAAACGATTGAGGAAGGTGGCTGCCGTTCGGGCACCACTGTCGCAGGATGAGGACTCTATGCTGATGGTGGAGCAGCCACCAATCGATGACGTCTCGCTCTTGGCATCATCCATCAGCGTGGCATCGTCGTTCAGATCGTTAACTAACACCTGAGTGCTGGACGAAGCCGTCGATACTATGGAGGAGGTGCGACTGCGGCAGGTTGAGGAGTTTATCTCTGATTCGAGTGGTATGGAGATGCCCTCGTCGATGCTTTGGCTCTGGCTTCCGCCTGAAACGAGGCACATGGCTGCGTCCAGATTGGGGCCACTGCTCAGGCCGCCCGGTGATGCGGATACCGGCGATGGGCAGCCCGAGCTGCTGCAATGATTTGTCCCGCTTCCTGATCCGCTCACCGCATTATTTGTGCACAGCTTGGAGATGAACAACTTGGGCGTAATCCGACCGTCGTACGTTCCGGAATCCGGGCTGGGACACACCGACGACGGTGATTGGCACACAGGCGAGGAGCCGCGGCTGGGAGGGAAAGAAAAAAATACATTATATTAATCATAAAAGACATATTTTCTTTAGTTGTTGGTTACATTGTTTTTTTGCATTTTGCCACGTGCTAATCTTATAAAATTTAGCGCATTTGTGCATTTTCAAATATAGTTTTAATCAGTGCCAGCGCATTCTGCATTTATTTTTAGCTTTTAGAGGAATGTTTCGTTGTCGAAAACAATCCGAAAATAATGTAAATAATTCTAAGAGAAGCTACATTTTATTTTAAATGAACTTTTGCCCCAGAAAGAAATTAAAGGCAAGTATAAGCAAAGCAAATAAAATAGTTTAAAGGTTTAGTTTGCTGTGCAATTTGCATATACCCATTAGTGATCTTAAGATATTATAACTTACCTCTCCGTAAATATCTTTTTAAGCGGCGGTGGGGAATACACACTCCAATTACTTCCCTGCGTGGGAGCATCGTCCAGCTCAAACTTCCGCTTGACCGGTCCCAGCTGCGATGGCCTCATGGCAATCGGTGACATCGATCTCCGGGTGGCAAATGTTCGCCTCGTGGGCGACGGCGAATATGGTAGCCGCATTCCGGCTCGATTGTTAGTTGGACTGGGACTGGAGCAGCTGGTGCTGCCGGTGGGCGGCAGGTTGACCTGCAGGGGATTCGAAAACTCATCGGATTTGCACGACCAGTTCTCGGCCACCAGTGTGAGATCCTCCCAGCTCTGCGATATCTGTATTTCCCGATGCACTTCTCGCTCATGGTTCACCTCGCGACTATTTAGGTCCGCACACTCCTCCTGCCGCAACTGGGAGACCCTGGGCGTTAGGCAGAGAGTGGCTCCATTGGCGGCTGTGGTCAGGGGACTATAGCTAGCCGAATAGCGTCGGGTTCGCGGTGTGAATATATTGAATACTGGAGCCGGGGACACCTCCCTCGAGTTGGGCTGCGAGCGTATGTGTATGTTCTTGCCAAAGCGATCGATGGAAGCAATAGTTGGCATTTGGATATCAAGCACCGGTTGATGCTGGCTCTTCTTGGGCGTCTGCTCGTGCTCCCTGGCCGCCAGAGCAGCCGCTGCAGCTGCCCGGGTGGTCATTGGAGTTTTTGCACCCGGAGTTTTGCCCGTTGTTGGTGTCCGGATTATGGGCACACTCAGGCATCGTTTAAGGGTCTTTGAATTACTGTTGTTGGCGCTATTCGGCGGCGGTGGGTCCAGAGTGTCCATGGGCATGGCCATGCTGGGTTTTTCCTGCTGCTTCTCCTCATCGCCGCTGGCTTTCGTCTCCGATTCCATTGCCGTCTATCTAAAAATAGAAGATGTTTAGATTTCTTCTTGACTTCTAGGGTTTATTTTTATAGCCTTGGAGAGGGGGTAGTTCGACCTCTTCTCGGGAGTTCCTTAGGATTATTTATAATCGAACGTAAGACACAGTTTGACAAGTTAGTTCCTAAATTAAAGAGCATTTGTGTTATTTTGCAGCTAAACTTAAAGTGATTTCTACTTTTTTTAGGTTCAAATGTTATTTTAAACTTTAGAAATTATAAAGGTTATAGTAATATATATTATTTACGATTTACGACACACAATAACAACTTGTAGTCTTAAAGAACATTGGTTTTATCTTAATAAGTTAATTTATATTAATAATTAAAGAAGTTATCTCAACATATAGAAAGTTCATTAGGAAATATCTATTTAAAATCTACAAAAATAATGATTTATGTCTAATCTGAGTTCAATGATAGTTATTTTAATAGAATTCCGTGGATATTCCCAAAAAATAAAGACAATAATCACAATACTAGTAGAGCCACGAGCCAGTCGGCTTTGCCAGCTCCCGTTCCCTTCGGCGGCTACCTCCATACCCCGTTGTTACCTTATGTCCTTGGGCAGCAGCACGGGAAATTTATCCCCGATTTTCCGCCAGGACTTCGGGGTGCAGCTACTGCGCTGCCGGCGTCGCTGCCGCCTCGGGGGCAGAGAGACTGTCTAGTTTTTTTTTCTCACTTCTCCACACAAACTGCGTGCCCAGCGAGGCAACTTTTGCAGGCCAATTTTCACGAACCAAATGCAATTAGCCGCCGCAAATAACTGCTGATTTAGCTAAGCCAAACCGTGAAGTACACTTGGCACTACCTTAAATGTACACAATACACTTGCATATGCCCTAAAATACTTACAAAATTGTGTCCTGCGATTGTAATTTTTCAGCTACCCGTTTAGTTTTTTTCTAGTGTTGACAAGCGATTGATACGCGTGCTCACGAGGCACGAGCAAGCGGAATGACAAACTAATAATCGGATGAAAAATGTACAAAAACTGGAAAATTTCACGTCAAAGTTGAGCAATTCGTGTAGATAGTAAAATCTTTAATTTAACTATAATTGTGTTGAAGTATTTTTTGTTGAATATTAATGATTATTTCGCTTTAATCCGCTGGTCTGAAGACCAAGCCAATTTTCTACCAGTTGGAGCTCTCGTCATGCAGCTCTGTCCGTGAGCGTTGCCAAACACTGTGCGCGCGCATTTCGAATTCAGGCGCTTAACTTGTAAAAAATAATTATTATAAAAGTTTAAATTAAATAATTTTTAGATTTCTTTGACAAAAGAAAAACATAAAATGTAATTATAATGTCTTTTCATATGTATGTATGTATATATATTGTACAAGATTATTCGGAACATTATTTCGGCGTTAAAGGAATGCGATAATACATTAATATCAAATGAAAATGGCATTAATTTAAATTAAATTAAAACATTTAATCAATAAAATAATATTTTGTATCCTTTAATTTTGAAAAGTAAATTTTTTTTCAATTCTTCCATTTGTTTTTTGACATTATTTAAATTAAAGTGTTTCATTTTGGCAGCAAAAAAATTTGATTTATGCACCATACAAATTAAAAACTGAATATATTAAGCTCTAGATAATTAATTAAATGCCTAACCTTTTCAAAAGTAAATTTTTTGATATTTCCCTTTTTTAACCATTAAATTAAAATTATTATTTATATATTATTATTATTATTTATAATATATCAAATAAGAAAGGAATCTTACTTCGGCACGCCGAAGTTTATATACCCTTGCAGATAGTACTTCGATGACTAATTAATTAATACAATATAAATTTTATATATTTATGTTGAAAAACAATGAAGTAATGCCTGCTTTTATTTCATTCACCTATATATATATTATATTTATAATTTTACATTCACAGTTTTGCATTTTCCTCTATATGTAACGATCTAAAATTGAAATTCTGGAATAATATAATAGGGCAATACCGCAATTTTAATGAAAATCTATTAAAAACTGAAAAAGTTATAATTTTTAATTGAATTATTTTTATGATCGCTGCTATAGCAGCTATATGGTATAGTAGTCATATTTTCACAAAATTTTACACAAAATTGTAGAATAATATAATATGGCTATATCTCACATTGAAAAAGTTATATTTTTTTCTAAAAATTTCCGATTCTTCCTATGGCAGCTATATGATATAGTCGTCCGATCTGGCCCGTTCCGACATATATACTAGTGAGAGTATAAAGATTAACTGCAAAGTTTCGTTCAGACAGCTTAAAAACTGAGAGACTAGTTTGCGTAGAAACGGACAGACGGACATGGCAAGACGACTCGGCTGTTAATGCTGATCAGGAATACATATACTTTATTTGGTCGGATGACTCCTTCAATGCGTACCAAACTCCTGACTGAAATTATAATAAGGGTATTAAAATCGCCATTTAAGCAGGTAATGCTTTTTGGTATTAAAAATCCCGAATACAATTAATGTATTTTTAAAGACACCATTAAAAATCCGTTTATAGACACATGTTATATTTATTCATTATGAGAAACTTAAGAAAACAAAGTCGTGTTTTACAAACATCAGTTGTAATTTTGGTTTTTTTCATGGTTTGTTAAACGTTAACAGAAATCACATCAAATTATAAAGTAACACAGTCGGAACCAAGATATCAGACTAATTGAAATCTGTAAACCATACGCAACTTCGTGTTGAACGCTGGGCGATTGAAACTATATAGAAAATTGATTTTCTTTTATACTTCTTAGTCGGTTTTTCCTTTCTCAACTAATATAATACTTTAGACTTAAATAACCGTTTTTTTTTCTTTTTTGTATTCGACGAAAGTTTTTCATTTTGCTTTGTTGTCTACGAGCTAAAAGTACATATTAAGCTAATTTGTTGCTTGATGCGTTTTTGTGTTTTTGCTTCATTAGAAGGCGATCCTCCTCTTTGGGCTTCCTTTTTGGATGGTTTAGCAATTGAAATCGTTCGTTACTTTTCTAAGAACTATGTCCCACGGGTTGGGGGAGAGAGGATCTATCGCAACCGATGATGATTGTAAATATGTAATGATGGGTGAAGCATTTCTATGAGCGACGACTGAATATTAAATTGCATTGGTTGTTCTTGTGTTGACTTGGCAAACGCAGAGCATCTGAGCGTAGTTACATCGCGGTTCTGGTATCTGGAATCTTGGTAAGACTTTCTACTTAGCCATCGGCCAAAGCTGGTGTCACCCATCCGTACTTTTCGTGTGTCTTTACCAGCGAACGGAACGACTCTTCGGCCTGGCGACTGCAAAAGAATATAATATTTGAATTATTTCAATTTAATATATACATTTCAGGAGGCCTCAACTAACCGAGTAAACTCCTTTGCATTCTTTGGCTTGCGCGTTATACGCCCCTGACCCTTGACAACGCTGGCAGCGAACTGCATGATGACCGCTTCCACCGTATATGCACTGGCCCATCCGCGGGGCGTTAGTAGCTCCATGCAAATAGCCCGCCCTCCATCACATAGCCCTTCTCGATGCGCGGCTCCACGACACGCATGAACGGCGGGGCGAACGGAAAGTTGTCGGGAAAGCTCAAATGCAGCAGGATGGCCGGAACGCCCATCTCAACCATATCCCGGGCAAGTGGTGAGTCGGGATCTATCACATGAAGGCGGACATGCCACTCAAACAGGTTGTCATTGACGAGTTCCACCTGTAAAGATGTAAAGGTTAGCAAATTGAAGTCTCGATATAGATATATCCTTGGACTCACTGTGAAGACGGCATCGTTCTTGGATTGGAGCCGCTCCATTTCACGGTACTCCTTCATGAGGCGCCGCGAACGGATCGTTTGATCCGGCGCGGCTACCAGATGGCGTCCCGTTGTCGGCGCCACCCTGCCAAGAAGGATTGCGAATTTTAGTTTATGAACAACAAAGCAGTTTGAAACAATGTTTCTTTTTTTGATTTACTAAACAGAAATATTTACTTGTGATCTTGTCGTCGCCGCTTGCCTGGTGAGTCCCAAACGGCCTGTTCGGCTGCCATTCGCACCACAGCATTTTTGGAGGCAGCAGCTCCGGATCCAGATCCTGATCCTCCTCCGCCCATAGCACCGCCACCCATTGCTCCTGCGCCGCCGGCTGAAGGAGCTGCCGCTGCAGCCTCATGGTTATTATTGGTTATATTCGGATTGCTGCCAGTAGCACCATCAATTTTGTCATTGTTAATATTGTTATTATTATTATTATGGTTGTTATTATTATTATTATTATTATTGTTGTTGTTGCTGGACTTGTGGAAGATTTTGCGGAATGCCGTGACAACTCTCTCCTTGGAACGCGATGACATCTTTGTTAGCGTTTTTATTGGCTTTGGGCTTGGTCTATCTCCTTGTCAATTATTCTTAGTATATTTCTTGTGCTTCGTTTTTTGTTTATTTGTGGTTTAGAGTTAAGTTTTGAGCGGTGGTGGCTTGTTTGAATTCCTATAGTTTACAAGTTATTGTGTGGGGCGTCGTGGTTGTTCAGTCTTATTTCATTAAATTGTTTTGTGGTTTTTGGTTATGACTTAAGCCTGAAAAGGGAAAAGGAAGAAAATCAAATCAATAAATAAAAGTTGTATGCTTTAGAACACCAAAGTTAGCCACCTTTCTTTGTCTTCTCTATATTTAACCCCACATAACACATGTGTATCGTCAACAAAATGACCACATTTGCATTTTCTTGGGTTCTGACTTTATAAAATTAACATACTTGTGCATGTTAAGGATGCCATTTAGCTTGGAACTTGATTCCCCTCAAGCAATTTTCATATTTTAGTAGTCCTTCTTTCCCGTACAATTTTGTGACCTTGAACTGGGTTACCCCCCTCCCACCGACGACAACAATAACCAGTGGGGGTAATTCTACCATTTCTCGGAGTCATGACCACAAACACATCATCCTTGGCGAACTTTTCAAGTGAATAACGAGGAGCAGCCAACGGAATATGTTAAATACACCCACTTTACCACAACAACACCAACAAAAAAAGGAAGGAAAAACAAAACATCTCATAAATGCGGTCGCAGGAAAAGGAATGACATAAAAACTTATTCCGTCGCAGACAGAAGATTTCCAAGGAAGCTTTAAGGGATAACATACTATATTAACCGAGGAAACTACATATTATGAAAATCTGTCGGAGGTATATGGATAAAATGTAATATAATGAAAATATAAAAATATTTAAGGGAATTCTCAGTTAATAAGAAATCAAGGGGGTAACTGCAGAACTTGTCTAATGTTTTATATTTAATTTAGAAACTAAAAGAGGTCTAATATATGTATATGTTTCTAATAATTTGCACTCCTTGTTTCAAGACGATATATTTTTAATTAATTGGTTACAGCATAGAAATACTTGTTTTCCATACTCAAACTAAAAATCTCTCTTGCTTTATCCCAAAAGTTTACATAGCCTCTGGAGTGGCACAGTCTCCGCTTGCCTTTGACCCTACCTATTTTCAGTGGTTGCCAGTGGGAGCCACCTCATTCTCTGTCTTTTGACCAAACCCGCCCCGACTCGAGGTGTTCACCGTGTTTGGTCTCGCCAAAGTGTTTGCCTTGCACATAATTAGCTTTGACCCCCAGTGCACGAGCCCTCAAAGGGGGATTATTTCTGGGGTCACTCCCGAGGCTTCTGGACACAAGCCAAGACCTGGGAACTTGGTGACCAAGGACAACAGTTGTGGGCGTTCCATTTTTATGGCCGTGGGTGGTATGGCTAAGGGACCATTATTATTATTATAATAAGAGGTCGGATAAGTGTGAGCCAAGTTGAGAGCAGAGAGATCAGATAAAACGAGTTTCGAGGGAACCTAAGGCATATTTGCCAAGTAAAAAGAAGCTTAAAATTTAGGTATATATTAAGAACTCATTTTCTTTGGTTATTTTCCTGAAGTCTGATACATTTTCCTGTTTCAGAAAACCTTCACACATTGTCCTTTAATTTCATATTATTCATAATTTATTACCCTTAACTATTGGCTCCTCTTTCTTTGCTCATCTTTTATTCATTCCCAATCCAATGAAAGTTTCTCCCTTTTCTCCCAAAAATTATAGCACTTTGCTCTAGGCTTTAGAACTTCTTCCGTAATCTTGCAAATTATGAATGATTGATGGATTAATGAACCGGGTTGGAGAAGCGAAATCCACTCTCTGAAACTGACCGCCCCCAAAAGACTGACTCATTAGGAGTTCATCAAGATTCGAACTATCCCTGGGCCCGTTTTCCTACTTTTCCTTCCTTCCTTCCCGCTTTCCGGTTAGCTATGAGCCATTTCCTTCCTGCAGCTCAGCTCTTGTGTGTTCTGTGCCCAACTAAAAGTATTTTTAGAGAAACTTTTTGCACTTTTGCTTTCAGCCAGGGGCACTAAAAGGAAAAATAAAAGCTGACCGAGGCCGAAACAAAGGCGCCACAGGCATCCTCTCCTCAGTACAAAAAAAATATTATATCCAAGACCAAGCAGGTTCCACAAATAATGCAGACCAAAAAGGGGAGGAGAGATGTGTATCCGAGTCATATGGATGGAAATGTTTTCTGGCGCTCAGCGCAACACATTTCTACAGTTCTTTCACCATTTATTTAACCAAATAAATGTCAACAATGGTTGACATATTTTTTTCCTCGTACACAAACGCGCCCAGAGACTCTTGAAATGTCTATATACCAGGCAGTAGGGTGCATCGATTCAGATTTTAAAGAAACTATAATAAAATGTGTAAAGAATGGTTTAAAATTTACAACAAATTGGGAAATATATATTTTGTTCGATCAATCAAAGTTTAAAAAATACATAACTAAACCAAGAAACCATTAATTTTAATTCGTAAAGCGTTCCTTTGTTAGTTTTTATTCGAGTAATAAATCTGCATACTTTTTTAAATTTTAAGAAATTACAATTTTTGAAAACTTTAACGATTTTAACCCCTTATAAAATTTTGGAAAAATTTCGAAATGTTTTTTGTTGCCTTAGATAACTAGATCGACTCGCTTGTTGATGCTGTCCAAGAATATATATGGTTTATGGGTCGGAAATGACTCCTTCATAGCGATATAAGCTTTTAACTTAAATTATAATACCCTGCAAAAGGGTGTAATATGAGCCACCCTAATGCAAGTACGTGTATCTATAGATTGGGCGACAAATTGACTGTGCGGGTTGAAATTACAGCTCTCACAAAAAATATATATATCTTATCTGGCGCCATGAAAATCGATACGGAGAATGACCCTCATCATATCCCCTTTGTACCCCTTTTTCCTGCATTTTACCCACTCTAGAACTGACCTATCCCACCCAGCAGATATATAGGACTTATTTAATAATAGCCTACGGAGCTGGCTAAATCGGTGTTATTTGCCATTCCCAATATAGATAAGAGCGAAAAAGTCGTAAAAACAGGTGGCGGTCACGTTTTATGAATCTGGTTAATGGTATCCAATAGGATTGATGGATATTTAATGACGTTTTGCTTAATGTCAAAGTTTTAATTTAGTAATTGATAGTTAAAAAAGCTAATATACTGTAAATAGTACTAATATTAATTATCTTTCCGTAGATTAAATCGCAGCACAAGTACAATATCTTCCAACAATTTTAATCCCTTTTAAACAACACGTTTAAAAGTAGTAAATTTTTCAGAAAATTTGTGCATTTGTGCACAAATCAGATAATCAGATTGTACAAAAAAACATAAGTATATAATATGTACATATTTTGGAATATAAACAACTGGACTCATGTTTATTGTTGTTTCATTGCATGCAAATTTCCTCGCCTGTCGCATGCAAAACTTTGAACGCAAACACGAAAGCACAAGGGGAAAAAGAAAACAATAACACGAACTGGGGAAAAATGCAAAAATTTTAAAATTAAGAAAAGAAATGAGAACTGTGTCAGTTTGCGAAAAATGCAGGCAGTCAAAAGCGGAGCTGCTCAAGTTCCCTGCTCTCCTTACGCTTTTTATACCCTTGCAGGGTATTATAATTTCAGTCAGAAGTTTGCAACGCAGTGAAGGACGCACCTCCGACCATATAAAGTATATATATTCTTGATCAGGATCAACAGCCGAGTCGATCTTGCCATGTCCGTCTGTCCGTCTGTCCGTCTGTCCGTTTCTACGCAAACTAGTCTCTCAGTTTTGAAGCTATCTGAATGAAACTTTGTAGTTAGCCTTCTATATACTCTCACTCGTATATATGTCGGAACGGGCCGGATCGGACGACTATATCATATAGCTGCCATAGGAATGATCGGAAAATTTTTACAAAAAAAATTTTAACATTTTCAGTTTTCAACAGATTTTCATCAAATTTGAGGTGTAGCCATTTTATATTAGTCTTAAATTTTGTGTCAAATTTCATGAAAATCGGACGACTATATCATATAGGTGCCATACAAACTATTGTTTGATGTAGAAGAAAAATGGAAATCTGTGAATGAAAAGCTGAAAATATAATATGTATAGGTGAATGAAATGAAAGCAGGTATTACTTCATTGTTTTTTAACACAAATATATATAATTTATATGGTATGGATTCCTAGTCATAGAATTTCTATCTGCAAGGGTATATAAACTTCGGCGTGCCGAAGTTAGCTTCCTTTCTTGTTATTTATTGATTTCTGTTCCAGCTGACTGACTTTTTAATTGCATTCGGAATGAAAATCAAAAGTAAAACCAGAAAATGCACTTTTAAAATTATTTTAACATCATTAAATAAGATTTTAAAAATTCCTTTGCCAAAAAATACTTGGAAAATGCATTATTATTTATCACTAATGGATGTTCTTTAAAATCATGAAGTTTTCATTAATAATTATTTATAATTCGAGAAGAAATAACCAAGAAAATTAAATTTATTTTATGATCAAATTAATTCACTTTCAATTTTTAATATTCTAAAAAATACACTAATTTTTATGCAGTTTTAAAGAAATTTAAAATGCAAGCATTTTTCTAAGTGCACTGACCGTGTGAGAGAGAAATCGCTCGTTAATCAACTGTTTGGTGAGTAGTTGAAAAAATGCGGAAATATTTGCCAAGGGGAAAGGAGGAAGCTGAAGAAAGATGGGGAGAGAGAGAGAGAGAGTGCCTGACTAATGGCCCCTGCAACGGTTCTTTGTTCTCCCCCATTAGCGAACACCTACCCACACAGACACACACACGCTCACTCCCACAGACAATTAATCCCACTCAGCCCCCCTTTTTTTTGCATCATCAACCTCTCACCCACACAGATTGCTTACGGTGGCATTCGGTGTCCCTTTCCACTTCCTGCCACGCGCCTGTCGCTGGTCATCCTCTCATTACACTCACCCTCACACTCTTACCCTTGCACTTGCACTCGTCCTCTCATCAGTGATGCCCAATATGAATGGTTAACCCTTAAGGGGCTAAAGGAGTTTTATTAATATAAAATATAATTTTCTTTTAGTTCTATTAAATTTTATATGTATTTTTTTTTCTTAATCAAAATTGTTTTGTAATTTTTATAAGAAAGTATAAATTGTAATTCAAAAATGTATTATTTAAAAAAAGATCAATAGACATCAATAACCGGTTATACCCTTACCGCACTCTCTCACAGCTGATGCCGCTGCATTGGCATTGTTCTAGTTGGAAGTCCGAGGGTCACCATCGCTTGTTACGGCTTTGTTAATTTATTTATAAACTATTCTCCGCTCGAACTCGGACCCTCGTGCACATGCAAATTGAATTAAACTGGGGACTGGGACTACCCCTATATATGGCAAAGCTTTTAAATGTGCATTCAGCATTAATCAAGGCCAGCCATCGGATTCAGCATCCAGCGGCTTCCTTTATTTCCTGGTTTTACGCTAACCAAAGCTAAGTGCTTTTGTCTCTTGACAAGGTTCGATGACACTGTCTCTTCAGTTACTATATACTATATATACTATACCCAATAATTCCCGATAACTGACTAACAGTCTGTGACTGATGGTGATACTTTAACCCCATTAGGGTCCTCCCAAAAAGAAGCAAGGGATGGGGTCTTGGCCCCCCCTCATTTGACCTTGAATATGTCTCAGTTAGAGTCTGTTTATCATTTTGATGTGGCGCCATAACACATGGCGCACAACGCAAAAGTATCTATGTATATATAGAAACACGAACCCACAAAATGTGTGTTGAAGTAGGGAAACCCATCGAAGCTTGAGATACACTACAAGATCCTAAATTAAATAATAATAAATAAGGGCTTATACGGTAAATAAATAAACATATAGAGATCTGGTTTCTCTTGTAGTTTTATATATGTATATAACTTTAATTTAATTTAATTTAGATAGTGTTTATAGATTCTTACAAGAACCTTCAAACTGCTTCTTAAAGTTAAAATGCTCTCCTCAAAATAACATTTTCCTTCGAGTGTTTGCACCATATTTGGTATATGTTTTCATTAAGACCCCAAAAGGCATTTCCAGCACGCAGATATAGATATAAAGATAAAGACAGAGCAAGCGCCTAGACAACAATCCTCGAGTGGGTATGGGTGTGGGGCTAAAAGATGAAAAGCCCAGCTAGGATTTAGGACCTCTTTTCCACTCCTTGGTATTACTTTTGGCCCTTGGAACACTGATGGCGCGTGTTTCATTCAAACGGAAGCCATTTATGAAATTGCTTTCGACAACAGAGAGAGAAAGAGAGAGAAACAACAGGAGCAGGCACAACACTCAACGATGGCCACAACTCGTTGTGGGTTAAAAGTGGACTTTGACATGGACATCAGACAAGGGATATGGTCATATATACGCGTCATTTGATGACGTTGACGGTGGAATTGCGGCTCTAGTCTGGTCAACGTTCAAGTTTGTACACAACAAAAAATAATATGATACCTAAAGAAGCGAGGCAGAAAAGTAATAAAAAAGTAAAGTTGAGATATTTTGCAGATCATATTTATCTTCAAAGGTATAAGTACAATTAAAAATTTTATATAAAATATAAAACTTTTCTTTGACTTCTTTCCGTGTATCGACTTTCATCTATATCTTATAGCCCGTGTGTGAAACGACCTGTCAATTTGGCTTTTGTCGGGTGTCAGAGCTAAATACTTTGGGATAGCCGGGTTATTGCACATGAGATAAGCTTCAAGTGCCTGTTGTTGCGTGTTTTATGTTACGTTACGTGGTTTGGAATTGGTTATTGAATTTTTCGACAGTCTCTCGTTAGGCACTCGAAAAGTATACTATACTAAACCCAGAAAGGAAGCTAACATCAGGAAGCCGAAGGTTATATACCCTTGAAATTGCTAATAAATCGAAAATTTATCTTTAAATCACTACTTTTATAATACGCAAGACAATCTATACTACTTCTATTAAATAATTATACACAATTGTATCTTATTTACATGCACTTTGAGACTTAATCGGGCAAAACTCCCATGATATGGATATATCCCATTCGCACCTCAAGGAAATTAACATTGCTGACGTCAATGGCTGACCTGGGGCAAAATAAAAACAAGGACACACAAGGCCATACACACGCACTTGATGCCCCAACCACCTGCCATATATTGTTTATGCTCGGTGGAAATTGTTTATCACCTGCCACAAAACACTCCTCACTCTCATGTAAAATGCATAAATTCATGCGATAACGGGGGGAAAGTTCATCTAATTGCTGGCGACCCTTTGCTCTTTTCTTCTATTTATAGAGTCCCCCTGGGATTCTGGGGTTTACTTCTTCCTGACTTGGACTCTTTTATTTCCATGGCTATGCATAATCAATTGGTGCGTGTGCCGGGTTAAATCTATAAATTAATTCAGCCGTAAAAATAAAATGCCTACTCGGCGGGTCCATAAAAAGTTGGATGCACCCACATCAACATCCACATCCTATCATCCCACATTCGTTCGCTAAGCTCCACTGATCAAGTGCGATTTAAATGCACAGCATGTCCGGAGGTCGAGGAACAGGATAGCAATTACAGTGGACACTTGGTTAATGGAATGGGTTCTATAAGTATATAAATATATAAATATAAAGTGATAAAATTAAGATGGGACTCAAAAATTGTAAAGATGGTTTTGTAAGACTTTAAAAAGATATTATTTTTGAATATTTATTTAATCGTATCGAACGATATCTGGTCTGATTTAATAATAGTATGAGGCACCGCCTGTTTCTAAACTATTTTAATTGTTGTTCTGCTGGGAATTCTGTTTTTTATTATTATAAGCCAGAAATTGAATCCGATTCAAAAGCACATTTAAATTTAATTGCCTGCCACTTTATGCATCTGTTAAAGATTCGGACTAACAAATAAGTTTGAAATTTCAATCACAAAATGGAGATAAATTCATAGTTTTTACTGTAGAAGGAAGAGGATAAAATGCTTTGCTTTGGCGCCTGTCTTATTGTGTTGACGCAGCGGGAAAGTCTGGTACATAAAATAAGGACTAGTGGGGAGGAGCAGATGCCTTTCTCTCTCTCTCTCTCTATCTAAAGTGGAGCTCTGATTTCATTCATGAATACCAAATAGCGCAGAGAAGCCTTTCCTGCTCCTCCTTATAAACTTGTACATACATATGCCTGCCGTGTCCTTAGGCTGGGTGGTATGTGCGTATCGGTAGGCGTGAAAATGTCAGCAGTAAATAAAATTTGAGCATTCTTCGTTGTGTTGCTGAGCTTCTATTCATTTGCTTAGATTTATATTCCACAATCTACAGCTTTAGGAATTTCCTTTTATCCTTGCTTCTCAACTGTCACGGGCAATAAGAGCCGAAAGCGGAGAGGCAACAACAACAACAGGCATAAACATGAATGGAAATTGAATAACCAACAAAAAAAAAAGGTAAAACTGGAAAAGTTCTGTGTTTGCATTTTATTTTAGAGGCCCTTTTTGCTCATATTTCCTTTTTTCAGCTTGTTATTTTTAGCTGCGATTTTTCATTTGCTTTTCATTCTCTTTTTGATGAGTTAGAGATTTAAGCGAACTTGGTGAAAAGCTAGCGGGAAGCATGAAAATTAAAAACTTTACTCATTAAAGCAATGAAAAGTTTAAGGTTTTATGAGACCAGCGAAACGAGTTTTAAAGCTTTAAACTTGCCTTATATTAAAATACTCTCAACCTGTCAAAACAAATAATAAAATGTAAATCCAATTTCTAACCTGATCTTGAAACCTAGATGACAGTAGCCCTGAAAAACTACTACGGTAAACAAAAAAAACAAACCACAAAAAACACTTGCAAATTTCAGTATCAAGTTCAATGAAAAGCTGGCATTGAAAGAGCAAAAGAGACAGAGATAGCATCCCTGGCCCTCTTGAGGACGAAAATAAATCCAAACCAATGTCAAAAGCTAGAGTGCAATGAATAGGACAAGCACAAATAAGTGACAAGAATACACTCACATACACACACACACACGTGCGGTATTGTTTGACGGGCTTCTCGGTAGTGGCATGCTTCAATTGAAAATCGAAGGGGAATAAAGAGGATAGAAAGGAGGGGGTGAGGCAGCGGCAGCAGCAGCGCGAGCGAAAGAGGAGCTCCAGCAACACAAAAGTTCTACTTGCAAGAGTGAGAGGTCAAAAGCTTTTAATTGGCAAATTGTTGTGAGACGCCAAAAACCCAAAAGGGATACATGTAAGAGGAGACAGGGGAGATAGAGAAAGAGCGATTGCTGTAAGACGCAACTCACAGATAGCCGAGACACACACACACAGTCCCAGAGGGAACCACTCACCGCAAAATGCAATACGCCTTTGTTGTTGTTTTCCCACGAATCGTGCTTATCAGCGTTTTTTTTTCTATTAGTTTGGTATTCTTTATTTACTTATGCAGTTGGGCTTGCAATTCGCACAGCAAACAAATAAACCAACGCGAAAATCAATCAAATGCAATTTAGCTATTTAACGGCGACTTCCGCGAATTGTATATCTTTTATTGCGCGCTAACAAAACTTCGCTGCAGTTTGTTTTTCGATTTACCAGCTTTTCCTCTGCCCGAAATACCACTACATGGAGCTGCACTTTTTTTCGCTGCGAATCAGCGGAAGGCGGAGAGAAAATTGAGAACAGTTTAAAAAGAAGAAAATTTCTTTGCTTTAGTGAGACCAGGTTGCAGAAACACAAATAGCTTACAGTACGGTATACAGGGGGTGAAAGTTTATTCCATTTAAATGGGACGGTCATACTTTGTTGACCTGGCTGTTTTGAAACTTAAGACACGTTTAACATTTGATGGTTAGTTTTGTATTAATATTTGTGCAAAATCGACAACTTATTGAAATCATAGTTTTGAATGCTAATAACAAATTACAGAATGCTCTCTAAAAACTTAAATTTACCCGCACTAAAATTCATTAACAGACTCTCTCGATGAATATCGGAGTAAATGTAAATTAACAGAATTCTCTCGTGAGCGTGCACAAATTTAGCAGTTTGGCTTTTTCGAGCTGATCAAATATTTTGGAAATGCCTTAAGAGTAGATGTTTTTAATGTTCATCTATCATATGCGTCACATCAACAATATATTTTATAAGGAAAATATATATATCACTTAATTAGGAATATCTAATTAATTAAGTGATGTTAATTTTAGATTCAGTTTTAGCAAAAATCTGTACATTGTTTATATTTGGCTTTTTATGCCCTTGCTGTGTAATGTATTTTTAATCAGAAGTTTGTAACGCAGTGAAGTCATTTTCGACCATATAAAGTATATATACATATTCTTGATCAGCATCAACAGCAGTCTCGATCTAGCCATATCCCTCAAACTAGATTCTTAGGTAGGTTTGAAGCTGTTTTAATAAAACTTTGCAGTTAGTTTTCTATTTAATCCACTAGTATATATATATGAACGGGGCGGATCGGGCGACTATATAATATAGACTCTATTGGAAAGATTGTAAAATTTTCAGAAAGTAATTTAAAACTTTTCTAATTTTCAAAATATTTTCATTTAATATGATATTTACATTTATATATTATTTGTGTTGCTATGGAATTTTTGTTTTTATTTTTTGAAAATCGGACTACTATATCATATATGATTGACATAGGAACGTTCATGAAATTAATACAATTAAAAAGTATAACTTTTTCAAATATATTTTCATAAAATATGATATGTAGCCATTCTGTGTTATTCTAAAGTTGGATTTTAATTTTATTAATACATAGTCTCTATATCATAAAGCTGAAATAGCAACAATCGTAAAATTTGTAGAAAAAATTATAACTTTCCCAGTTTTAACAAATATTCAACTAATATATATATGTGAATATTTATGTATTTTTTATTGCTGTGGAGTTTTGGTTCTTATATTTTTAATCGGACTACTATGTCATTATGTGATGTGACAGCCATTGAAAGGATTGTAAATGTAAAGGAAAATGTTTAACTGTGAATGTTAATTTGTACATAAAATAAATATAGGTAAATGTTATAACCGAATCCAAATGTAATCTACGGCGTCGCGAAGTATTCTTAATTTTCTTTTTTTTTGCTTATTTTTCTAGTCTAGCTTTACGAGTGGTCATATCCTGTCAGCACTAGTGAGAGCGGACAGTGAGAAAAGAGAATGGAAATCAAACAAAAAAGGTTGCCAGCAAGTCTCAACAGACAAGCTGCCAGATCGCTTAAAAGTTTTGGCAGGTTGCCAAAGTGGCCAGATCAGTATTGTAAGTGAGGAAATATTAAATTAAACTTATTATAATACAAATATTTATAAGTGGAAAATAATAATAAATAAATATAATATAATAATAATATTAATACTTTTAATACAACTTAAAAGTCTGATAGTTTTATAAACGTTACTAGCCTTGAAGTCATATAGAAAATACATACAAGTAAACAGATGTTGGGCTAGGTGAGTAATGGAATTGATAATTTTAAGTTTTATTTAAGGGTAAGAAAATTAATTTAAAAAACCATTTATAACAATAAAGTTGTATTATAATACTAAATACAACATTAAACGTCTAATAGTTTTATAAGCGTTACTAACCTCGAAGTCATATAGAAAATACATACAAGTATTTAGATCTAGGTCTAGGTGAGTAATGAAATGTATTATTATATGAAATGATTTATTATTTATATGAGGGTAACAAAATAAAATAAAACATAATAATATAATATAATATATATGTTGAAAACTATAACAATTCCCTAGTCACTTCCATAGTTACTTGGTAACTGGTTACCGAATATAAATATTTTAATAAATTATTCAGTCCAAAAACTTTACAATTACGTAAAATTTTAATAAAAAAACTCACATTTATTTGTATATTTTATATTTATTTTTGTTTAATAAATGTCTAGAACACCGATAAAGTAAATTCAGTAGCAAACAAGTCCGTTTGCAGTTTATTGCTTTTTCTGGCTTGTGCCTTGACTTACGAATATGTCTCTATATACGAGTAATATGAGTATATTTAACGATTTTAGTTATGAAAAAAGAAATGCCGTTGTTATAATAACAGTTGTAGTTGATTATGAGTATTTTTAAGTAAGTAAGTAATTCGTTTTACAGTTGTAGTGGAAATTTGGATAATTAGATTCCCACAAGGATACAGTATACTGCGCTTCTTTCTGCAACATATCGGTTATTCTAGGGATATATATATAACCCATACCCATACACATAGGCAAACAATCAAAAATAGCCGCTACGTACTAATCAACAAATTTCTCGTCCCATTCCATTGATTATTTATAATTTTTAAATATTTCTTAAATATTCTCAAGCACTTTGAATACAATTTGACGTGGCTTAAAAATAAATCTCATATTTAAATTGTGTGTACGTTTTCAACGGAATCTCAAAATTGCAAGGAAGATATTTGGCTTAATTTTAATTATAGGTTAAAGTTAATTTCTAGAATTACATATGTAGCTAAGGGTGTTAGGAATTGTGCTATATACTTATAAAAAAGAAATTAAAATTAAATAAATTAAAAGAAAACGAAAAGAAATTAAAGTTTTGCTTGGGTTTTCGTTTATTTTCGAATCAATATTCTTATGGAACTTAGCTAATAAATTCTGCTAGGAAAATGATAATGTTAAAAATTCTTTAAAGAATAATATCGAGATTAATGTTTGATTTTTGTTGGTGTTTTTCGATCGAACTTACAAGACTACGAAATGAATTTTCACTAAGGTACGAAAAACAATGACAATTTACTATCAATTTGTTTTGTTTTTAATTCTAAACAAGGTTCTAGGCCCGAGCTGAGGGAAGGTTGCTCACAAAGTGGATATGTTCTTTTGTTTGTTGGAAAACTTAAAGGCTGTGACAACTTTCTGGCTTGGTCCCTTCCCCAGCTGAAACCCCTTTGCTCTCCATTTAATTCACATAGTCCGAAACTAAAGTTGATAAACTAGTTTACAAATTTAAAGGCTAATCTGTTGATGCATGATCTCACATAAAAAACAATGTACATACATTTATATAAACTAGACCTGCTTTAATCTTATCTTCTTGGTAATAATTGTTACCCCCGAATAACAGCAAAATGAACAGCATAATGAATTTTGGTTTTTCCATCTTTCCGCACGAGTCTTCTACATATTCCATTCCATTGATTAACGATCTTAACCCCTGACTTATACAGCGTGTATAAGAGTCATGGTTGTAGAGGTATGTTTGTATGAGTTATAAGATGATTTCCGTCGAGCTTTGCTGCAGTGGATCGCACTGATACGCCTCCGAACTGGGCACCGGCGAATATTTGGAGTTCCTCTTGCCACTGGTCGTCGAGTTGGAGCTGGTAGTGGCTGACGTGGTGGTGGTGTAGCTATAGGTGGTTCCGCAGCCATTTAAACTGGTCACAGTGCTCACTAGTCCCGCTCCCGGTCCCGGATACTTGGCCACGGTAACCACACTGGGCGTCAATGTGGCCGTGGAGGAATCATTACTCTCCGCACTTCTGGCTGGACATCCCTTTTTGGCAGTGGATTTCCTGCGCACCGGCGTCTCCTGCAGCACGGCCGACTTCCTTATGGTCTGCTGCAGCAGAGCATTCACATCGATGGCTGGCCAGGCGACCAGCGAGACACTTCGTCATAAAGAGCTGTCCACAGGAGAAGCGGCGCGTTTGTGTTTGGTATGCGGATTGCGAGGATTCAAGTGTTTGCAGGACGGCTGTATATCCACATCCCTTTCCTTTGAATCCTTTGGCTTCTCTTCCTTGATGGGATAAGAGGTGGTGGCTCCTCCAGCGGTGGACGATAGCGAGAAGTATTCGGCGGACTGGCTTAGAGAGGAGGCATCGGCATCGGTTAGATTACCGCCACCATTATCATCGCTCCTCATTGTATGATCTGCATGATCCATAAAGGAAGACCTGTGGGTGCTAAGGGGTGTCAATGTACTGCTGTGCATATCCTCACCCTCCTGAGAGGGAGTTATCGTGTGATCAGCAGCGGTACAAAAACTTTCCCTTTGCCCTGTGGTTTCATCATCATCTTCATCGTCAGCCTCCTCCTCTTCCTCGTCCTCGCCTTCCTGGGAGCCAGAGCCGCAACAGCAGCTGGAATTGTGGCACGAACAGAAGCTGCCTCGCCTACACTCATGACACTCTGCCGAAACGGTCATTTCATGGACCTGACCCTCCAGATGATCCTCATCCAAGCTGCTGCAAGAACAGGAACTCGAGCAACTGCTGCAGTAATCCTGCCCAGGTTCGGCCATGAACCTCTTCCTCTTGATTCGCACGCATTCATTTCTCGCTGGCGCCGAGGCTGGATTTCCTCGCTTTGTGGAGCTGCTCGAGCTTGTATTTGGCGGCTGAGTTAGTTGGGTCTCATCCTCCGGCAAATGATGGGAGCCCATACGCACATCGTCATCGTCGTCGTCGTGGGAGAGCTCATCGGTTTCGATGGTTGTGTTGGAATTCAGAGAGCCTCGCCTGTGACGATGCTGTTCTCGCAGAGGTGCCATTATAATCGGCTTCACACCTTCGCTGGCTACCTTATAGGGAAAATTAGAGGTGGCCGTGCTGCTGTTATTCTCCTCACAATCCTCGCTCATCGTTGCCGCATCGATCTCAATGGCTATGGCCTGATGATGATGATGCATTCCCTCCTCGCTGGAGTCCAAGGAAGACTTGTTGTTGTTGTTGTTGTTCATTGGAAGCATTTGGTTGGGATTCGTTTGCTTAATGGGTAAATGCTGATTGTGATTGTGCCGATGGTGGCTGTGACTCCTTTTCTGGTGCAGCAGAGCTCTCCTCTTTGTGCTTCTGTAGTGACAATGATGATGATGGTGATGATGATGCCTATGACAATGGCAGTGATGATGATGTGTGGTAATTACACAGCAGCAACTGCCGCCATCTGATCTGGTTTGTGTGGCATTATTGCGCTGCTTCCTTCGACAGCAGCTGCTACTTGTCTCCTGACCACCAGCACCAATCAATCGCTGCTCCTTGGAGGCCGGTGAATGCACAATGACCACCTCCAAAGCTGCGGCCATGCTGCTGTCATCCTTACTCTTGCCACTGCCGCCTGGTCTGGGCAACATCTTGTTATTATTGTGATACTGGAACGCTCGATTATCGTGGCACTGACCAAAGTCCAGCACCTTGAAGTGCTCATCGTCTGCCCGCGCGGTGAGTAAATGGTCATCTCCACTGCTGCTCACGGTAACGGGTAGCGATAGTTGATGCTCCTCGGAATGGGATATATGTAGATCATGGGATGGACGTGCTGTGGCTGTTCTTCGGGGGCAAACTGCTAATCGCCGCGTCGCAAATCACGCGGCTTGGAATTCTTACGGTAGAACCACACCTGTGAGAGGATCGCAATGTCCAAGCTGACCTGGAGGTAACAAGAGCAATTTAGTAGGTATATTTCTATTTATTTAAACTATGCCATATTTACCTGCAGCGTGCCACAGATCCAGAATTGCGATGGTGCTTTCCTAACAATAAAGTAACCAGTCTTAAACATATCACCGAGCGTCCACATGATCACCATGTGTATGCTCATTCCATATGTTGATTTATTCTTAAAATTGCGCAGAAATTGCGGCGCCCCTAAATAGAAAATGTATAAAAATAAATTTAATGAGTGACGGAGAGATATATGGAGTTGTGTCTTACCCAACATGGCCTCGGTGAAGACGGCCACAAAGCCCATGGATTCCATGAACCAATGTACGGACAGCATTAGATATGTTATAGCGGCACCCACGGCCCAAACGACGAGCATAAAGTCCAGATACGATTGGAAATCTGTCCAGCTCCAAAAGTATTTGAAATCAAGGTCTAAAAAAGAGAATTTAATAGGATTAGAGATTAAATATATGCAAGTATACAATTGTTCTGGTTCTATCTTAATATTTTTAATATATTCAGGGATGCCAAAGAATGGCATTGAATTTAAACGACTTGAAATGAGATCCTTAAAAAATGCTACATCAAGATGTGCTTTGTATTTGGATTCTTTAATATATCATTGCATACTTTAAGATTCTCTTTATAATTTATTTAAAATATAGCAATTTCTGTGACACACTTGGCTTTTTAACCTGACCAAAATGTAAATTCCTTAAATAAAAACAAAAGCTTCTGTAAACTGTTATATATCTTAAGGAAAATCTTATTATTTTGCCAAATTTATATAGCCTTAAACAGGCGTTGCATAAATATTTCCCTAGCTCCTGTTGTGTGGGGTCAAAGGTCATGACCCCCTACAATTTAGAGCTCTATAAATTGTTCAAAGCCAGAAGCCACAAACAGAAGGCACCGACTTGGGACTACTACAGATGCCAGCACAACCAGTTGGAAATCAATTTTCATTATCTTTGCCTGCTTTTAGGCGCTGCACAATTTACGACAAGCAAATGTACAACAAAGAGAAGCCCAAGGCGTGCCAATATAATTAGCTTGCCATCGACGTGGGTGCTGTATATATACATAAGATATATATATATATATATTGTTCATTGATCAATTTAACCGCGACACCCTCCTTCTAACCCAGTTACTGAGCTTTCTATTTACTGATAAGAAGTAATGAAGGAGAAGAAATAAAAGCGGACAGCAAGCGAGCGCCTCATAAAGATAAAGTATGATAAAAATAGCAGAAGGCGGAGCTCCCTATATTTCTCCAATGTTTGGGTGGAATTGCAATTCCCTTATACATTGACCCTGCCCACAGTTTTTTTTTATATTTTATATCAATCTATTGTACAGACTGACACAGGAAATTTCCGTCAATTAAGTGGAAACTTTGTCTACCTTTCAATGGGAATTTAAAATGGGTGTATCAGAGACATTAAAATCTAGGGCAATAGGGTAGAGTAACTAACTGAGGATATATATATATACTAAGTAGGATGTATAGAAAGGGAAAGTTGGATATGATACCGTTTTAGATACAGAATTTGTTTCGTTAAGTAATATTACAAAAGTATCTCCCATGATACCAAATTCGTTTCGGATAAGTATCTGAAATAAAACCTGCAGTTACCACTTAATATGGCCCATAAAAGTAGGCAATATGTTTTACAAAAATCTAAAATTGGGTATCCCATAGTCGATGCAATATGTAACAAAGTTAACCCCCATAGGAATCGCTGCAGTTGACTCACCGTTTAGATAATGCCTGGAGCGAACTCGCTTCAGGACACTGCCACCCGCCTCCGTGGAGACCGAGGCTCCCGTATCCGTGTCGGTCATCACCTTGGGCAAATGCAGTTCATCGCCTGTGGAATCGAAGGATGAGGTTGACATGTTTATCCTCTGTCAGGATAGTTTTAAAAAAAGGGACTCACCTCGCAGGGCGTGCTCACGGTTATTGGCATTAACCCGCTTCACCTTCACGCACAGATGGATCATCAGGAACATGGTCACGTTCATCACGACACTCTGCACCAGCAGTGGAAGCTCATAGCGGCTGGAGAACCTGCAACAAGGAACAATGGGGAAATGAGGTAAAGGTCAATCAGAAAGGTTAACATAAAATGACATTATAATTGGCATATGGCAGACACTGCCCGGTGGGACAGTATTCCGTGGTGGACTTAATTTAAGAGTTATTTAATTGCAATATTTGCTATTAAAGAAAATCTATACTACATATATTAAAATAAACTTTTTTTATTGCTTGAAAATAGTGGAATATATTGTATGTTTTAAATAGTCCATCAATAGGAATCATATAAGTAGGAGAACTCCTTAGCCATTTTAATACCTAATACACACTCGCCTCGATTGGCATTCCACGGGGCATTAAAAAGCATAAAAAAGGTATTATTATTTATCACCCTCACGGCTGACAACTTCCTGGGCCTAAAATGTAAGTACTACTAATTGACAGGTGCTTGAAGGCAGACCCAAACAAGTGATTGATGTGTGCGACCAACAGCATAATTCACTCACGAACCAAATCGATTATGGGGGCCCTGCAGCAAAGCTTAATGTAACATATATGTTTGTAATATATTTACTATATATATATAATTTTAACCCCGAGAAGAGGCAAACAAAATCCCAGGACTGTGTCAAGCGCCGCTGTCATAAATCTGACAGATGCCAAGTGGGCGAAAGTGGGGAGTGCGCCTCGTCCCCGGACAATGAATGAAACGTGTTGAGCATTTGGCAAAGCCACCAGACAAAGGCCTAACAAACCAGAGATTTGCTGGGGATTTGTTTGTTGTTTGTTGGCTGTGTGTAAGTCCGGCAAAAAAGTCATTCCCAAGTGTTATTAAAAAAAATGCGACAATTTGTTGGCATTCCGCTGGTCCCCACAACGCCCTCGGATTTGTGTGCCCAACTGTTATACAGCTGTCGTTGCCAATCACGCACCAGCAGATAGCATACATTTCCGCGTTACTTCCGATTATCGGATGGGAACTAGGGGTGTTGCCTGGAAGGACCAACTGCGGGTTATTTACCCTCCTCCTTTGGCATGTCGATAGTGCGGCATGGTATGGAAATTGAATTACAAGTTGTGCCAAGTCAATGTCATTCCATGGCTGTAAACGAGTCACCACATAAATCGCCTTTAAATGACATGCAAAATACATTTACATTTCGATTTCGTTAGCGGACTCAAAAGAGTTGTATAGTTTGAGGCAAATGGAGGAGAAAATGTGGATTAAGAGTTGGATTATAGGCAGTAAATTGAAGAATTAGTAGAAATATAAAAAGGACTTTGTATAGGTTAAAGGATATGTAGATTTAAGTAAACATTGTTATACATATTATATTAAAGTTAAGGGTAAACATAAGTTTATTAAATGTCTACCCTACTAAACAAGTTAGTACCAAATTTGTTTCCTTTTAAACCAATTTCCCACAATTGCTAAGGCTTTACAACATTTAAAGCTCAGTTATAAAACGGCTTTGACGGTTTTCTCATCCTTGCTAAAATCCACTTGCCATGCTTAATGCTTTTTGTGTTTGTATAACAACTGCAATTTTCTGCAATGTTAACATTTTCATTGCAAACATTTCAATTTGTAGTCATCACTTGACTTCATGGCACAGGCAAAAAAAATAAAGAAAGAAAGAAAACTAACCCCTCAAACAGCACATTTCCCTTAGTCACTAGTCCGGAATGGTTTGGCTTTACCTTTTAAATTGGCAAAAAAAAAAAAACACACACACCAACACCCCATTTCCACCCACTGGCATAACATTTTGCACGCTTCAACGTGTAAAATATGTCGTAAAAAATCGATAAAATTGTATACGTGCACACTGCACAAGTTCGCTTTTGAGCTGAGCCTGTAATGTAAACAATTTCCCAACTACTACTACTACCAGGTAGCGCACAGAAACACCTCATTTCCCCCAGCCCAGTCACATGTCCCACCTGCATATTTGGAGCTCACTTTCAATGGCAATTTGTACAAATAGCCGCAACAATTTAACTAAATAGGTGAGCTCCAAAAAAGAAATGTCACTTAGTCTTGATGAAAGTTTTATTGATAGAATTTGCCAGAGGGAGGGTCTTGGGACTGTCAAATTAAGTCGAAGGAGGGAAGTCAGGCAATTTGTAAACTGTTATACACATGTGAGAGGGCTTTGTTTAGCTCTAGCTTAGTGTGTCTGTGTTCTTAGACATAATTAAAATTCAGCAAAAGCCTTCAGCGTGATGTTTACTCAAGTGTAGATGGGGTTTGTTTTCCACCTAATGAACAGTTTGTCTCAGTATAAAAGAACTGAGAAATGGGAATATTTTATTATAAGAATTATAACAGACTTATAACAGTATTATATTAGAATTATAGAACTGAGAATTTGAATTGTTTTGTTTATAGAATATTCTTGGATGTTTTAGTACTAAGAAAGTATGCATTAAGTTTTAGCTAAATATATTTACCTGAACTAAGAAGTAATCCTCATGTTATGTCTGCTTTTTCTACCATTCTGACCATAGCTGTATGGGTTTGTGTTTAAGCCAAGGTTAACACATTCCGCTTAACACAAATTTCATTTGGCTTAAACGTGCCGTGGAGGCCTGGGTAAGTAGGCTAAAACTCAGTGCGGACACACAAGTCCTCATCATTGTCTCACTTTAGTCTCACTGTGAAGGGGCTCCTAACTAACGGAACCAAAAGCACTTAAGTCCGTACATTCCGGTTATTTCGGAACCATGTTGTATGTGTGTAATGTGTGTAGTGTGTGTCCGCCTCGAGAATTGTGTAAACACAAGTTGGCGCCTGATGAGCATACTTAACGGGGGAAAAAAAAGAACCAACAAAGCAAAGCATAATTTTTCTCCATTGAATGGAATGGATTGCCTGCCTTCCCCCACTGTTGATGATGATGATGAATACCCATAACTGGGTCGATCTTAAATCTAGATGGATTTTTTGCTAAGCTGTCAGCTGCTGCTATTCGAAATGACCTTGCCCGGGGATAAAGGATACAGTAAAACTACCAATGGCACAGTTAACTGGCAATTGCCAATGAAGTGAGCACACCTAAAGTGTGTTAAGTTGGTGGGAATTTTAACAACTATTAAATAATCTATCAATCTGTATTTATTGCTACAAATTATCACATTTTAGTGTACGTTTTTGTCATTAAATTGTCATATTGTCATATGCTAATTGGTAAATATTAGATGTTGTGACTAGAAAGCACAAATCCAGACAGCTTTGCTATATTTCTTGCTTATATTAATATCAATACCCAAATATATATAGAAATTGATACAGAAAAGATGTCATAAAATATTTTATTATATCATTTGATTTGCTGAATGAAATTTAATGCAAGCCGAGTGGTCCCACATGGCGGTCTAAGCCCATAAAACCCCAAAACCGTAAACAACAAACAAAAGATGCCAATCCACCAGAAATGCTGTGGGTGACCTTAGCCGGAGGAAAAACAACACTTTATTCCAATCTACGCCTCCTCAGAAAAGCCACCGTGGAAGCCTTAGCGGAAACCAAGTCAAGAGCACACAAAGTCATAGGAGAAAAGATGGAAGGAAAAAAAGGACACAGGAAATGCCACAATTGAAAAGACAAAGCGAGTGAGCCAGGGGTATAAAATATATATATATATATTCCCCTCCAGGCAAAAGCAAAACAATTTGCTGATTTGCATATGAGCTGGAAATTTGTAGCCAGATATATACACACAATATCGAATTATTTATGACTCTGCAGATAACTTTTGAGCTGACTAAGTAAGCCTCCTTTCTGCTTGCATTAAATTTTTACTCTCTGCACCAAGACCTACCACAATTTTATTGCCAGTAGTGGCCCGGGTGCAATATATATGTATATCCATCGAGCGGCTTATCAAAAGTGATTGAAAGTCATGCGCCTTAAAGGTTTGCCGGAAAATGTGTCAATGCCACACAGCTGCTTCTCGAAGCCAAGCGTGATAGTGCTGTTTTCAACTTTTTATTTTGACTTTTTTTTATTTCCATTTCGCGCTTTTCCAACAGAGCCTGAGATTAAATGGTGGAATGGATGAAGCTGGAGCACTTTTGCTAGCGTAACTTATGAGTGAAAAAAAATCGATATGTGGGGGAAAAGTTTTGTAAGAGGGTTTAGGTTAAAAGAGAAGAATATGTCAATCGTTTGAGATACATTTTTGTATCATATGAATTCAGTTTATAACAGACTAAAAAGTCGCAAAACATAAATTTGAATACTTAGAAATTCAAAATAAAAACTGTTATACTATAACAAACTGTTATACAAATTGTTATATTGGCCTAAAATAAATATTTTGTACATAAAATTAATTTTATTTTAGTACAAAAATCTTTATAATATTTTAAAAACAACTGTTATACAAAAATCTTGATCATTTTGCTTAAATGTATTTATTCTTCTCCAAGTACCACTTAAGAGCCTCTTGAGCACACCCAAAAGGCTTCAATTAAGCCTCTCAAAAGTTATATAAAGAAAGCCTCTTATACCCAAAAGCATAACCAGAAAATCAATGAACCCTGTTCGTTTTTTCTTGGACACAAAATAAAATATTAAAGCAATGCCACAGAAACCTATGAAATTTAATATTCTTTAAGTTGAGAACACGCAGAGATTATCTCTATATATATACTATATTCTAATTGAGAAATTGAAATCTATGTCTGTTGGCATCGTGCAAACATTTGCGTCACTCAACGTCGACACCGCACATTTTTTGCATGCAAAGAAGCCACATCATGGAGGTGAGACCCAGAGTGATTGCGATTGTTCATTCAGCAGGCCAAAGGCGTAATCATCGAACGGACACGGACATGGACACCGGATTGACGGGCACTGTTTAGACTTTTCGATTAGTTGTACACACAGGCGAGGTATTTTTGCGCCATCGCCAGCAAAATTACAAAATCTGTTAAGAGTCTCCAGGGTCGCTGGGAAAATGGCAAAAGTAACCTCCTTTGGAAACGTAAACTGGCATTAAAATTCAATTAGGGCAACGTCTCCG